TACTCGGGAGACCGAGGCAAGAGAATCTCATGAACCTAGGAGGTGGAGGTTATAGGGTTACAGTGAGCTGGGATCATGTCACTGAACTCCAGCCTGGGTGACGGAGCAAGACTCCATCTCAAAAAAAAAAAAAAAAAGGTTGACAAGGAAATAACTAACTTTAAATGATGGTGTATATCTTAATTATCAGAAGCAATCTGGATAAACTTAATGAAAGAACTGAGTAAATGTAAATGGAATACATGTTTTAAGTAAACTTTTCATGTAACTAAAAATCTTAAAATTACTATTGATGTTCATCATTGGATATCTGAGTCATTTCCAATTATGAAAGTTATAAATACAAGGAAATACATTTCTAAAAATTGTGGAATTGTTTTCTTTTCTTTTCCTTTTTTTTTTTTTTTTTTTTTTGAGATGGAGTCTCCCTCTGTCACCCAGGCTGGAGTTCAGAGGTGCACTCTTGGCTCACTGCAACCTCCACCTTCTGGGCTCAAGTGATTCTCCTGTCTCAGCCTCCCAAGCAGCTGGGATTACAAGCGTGTGCCACCACACTCAGCTAATTTTTTTATTTTCTGTAAAGACAGGGTTTCACCATCTTGGTCATGTTGGTCTTGAACTCCTGGCCTCAGGTAAGCCACCACATTCAGCCAGAATGGTTTTCATCTATAAAATGTTAATATCTGATTACTATGCTAATATGCTAACATCAAGATTTCTTGATTTCTAAGGTTTCAGTAAAATTTAAGTTTATTACAAATAAAAAGTTATAGTTAATATGTAATTGTGTGTATAAAACAGGCCAGAAAAGATGTGTTATTAGTGAGAAAAAGAATAATTTTGTCTAATTCAGAAGTTAACTAAAAGTTAATTCAAATTATGGACTTGAAAAAGATGATTTATGAAACAAGGTAGTAAGAAACCAGTTTGTAGCGAAGAGAGATATAAAGAAAATTATAAATATGAAGATGTATTTTTGGTAAAGAAAGTTACACAGAAAAGATAATACTTTTGTATGAGAAAAGATCTCGTATGGTAATTTTTTTAGTCCTGGAGTAAAATGACTGGTGATTTAAAGAAGAGAAGGAGGAAAAGAAAAAAATCTGGGACTGCTTGGAAAGCCCAGGCATGTCATAGATGGTCTGTGTAAATTACATGTAGTTTTTTTCTGTTTCTCTGTGTCTCTTTTCATGCATATACAGAGAAATAGAAAGCTGAAAAAGTTTAGATAATAAAATATTCTTTAAAACCTGATAGAAGATTGGAGAAATTTGGCTAATTCACATTTTCAGAGTTAAAGCTCTTAGTCTGAATAAAGATAAAATAAGAAATACTGTAAAGAAATGCATTGGCGGTTTGGCTTTTTCTTTTTAAGATGGAGTCTCACTCTGTCTACAGGCTGGAGTGCAGTGGCACAATCTTGGCTCACTGCAACCTCCGCCTCCTGGGTTCAAGTGATCCTCCTGCCTCAGCCTCCTGAGTAGCTGGGACTATAGGCATGCGCCCAGCTAATTTTTTTTTGTATTTTTTAGTAGAAACGGTGTTTCATCATGTTGGCCAGGATGGTCTCAATCTCTTGACCTTGTGATCCGCCCACCCCGGCCTCCCAAAGTGTTGGGATTACCGGCATGAGCCACTGCGCCCTGCTACGATTCTTTTTTAATATAGATAAGCATGAAGCCAGATTTAGTGTAGAGCCAAAAATTTTGCATTCCTGTTTGCATTGCTCCACACTATATCTGCTATTTTGCATAGATAGCACTAGGACTCAAGTACTTACTGGCCATGTGTAAAGTGAGTTTCATGTTTGCATTGCTTCACACTGTATTTGCTATTTTGCATAGATAGCACTAGGACTCAAGTACTTACTGGCCGTGTGTAAAGTGAGTTTCATGTTTGCATTGCTTCACACTGTATTTGCTATTTTGCATGGAGGTAGTACTAGTACTAAAGTACTTACTGGTCATGTAAAATGAGCTTCTTAATTACTCACATGTTTTCATTGCTTCACACTATCTTTGCTATTTTGCATAGGTAGCACAAGTACTAAAGTACTTATTGACCATGTAACTAAAGTGAATTTCTTAATTGCACAAAATATATAGTGATATTGGTGGACTTAAAAATAATAAATTATGTGTCAGGAATCAATCCATCATGTAGGTTTTCTAAGGCTCTGGGTAACAGTGTAGCCTACAAGGTAAACTGAGTAGCAGAAAAATTTGGGGTTGGTGTTGTGTTCATTTTTGCTTCCAATTTTCATTTATTTGCTGTTTGTTCTTCTTTGGATTTTCTCTCTCTCTCTCTCTCCATATATGCATATAGTATATAAAACCATTGATATTTTAGTTTCTAATGGAAGGCTTTTATTTGGTTCTATGAACAGTCACGTTGCTTCCTATGCATTTCCAACATTCCATTCTTTGCTCTATTTATCTAAAGTTCCTAAGCTACATTTGTCCAGCTCTCAAAAATTGATAGAGGACACCAGCCATTTAAATTTTGGTTGGTTTTCCTTACCTCTGAGGATTGATAGAGCTACAAGAGATTTAAGGTTCTGGCAAAAAATACAACTAAAAGACTTATTTTTACAAGTTCTGAGCAGAAATAGTACATTAAGTATTTCGTTATTTGGAAAAGTAGGTGAGAGCAGAAATGTTGAAATGGTGTTTATTTCCAAGGTAATTCAATTTGATCAATAATTTGAATATTGCAGATGTCCAAGAGAGACATATTAGACTTATTAGTTATTCTAGAATTATGCAGGAAGCACTGTCACATCTGAGGTGATGTTTAGTTTCCTTTGGGTTATGCGTACAGAGGTACGGTGTTAATATGTGTTCTGAGATTTTACAACATTCCTGAAATTCTGAGTTGTCTTAATATATATTATCAGTAATAATATGTTAAATCATTGTATGTCACAGAAGTAACCAAACTCCCTTGTCTATCGTGTCTTTGACTATGGCTGTCCTATGATTTTGCCATCCACAATTGACGTTTTACTTTGATCCATCTAAAAAAAAAATGACTTCGAATCAGCTACAGTCCAGGGCTTGCTTTCATAGGGAAGTTCATGAAAATGACTCTTGAATGAAGGTTTCTGATAACTGTGGAGATTGTTGTCATTGGATCACAGAGTAAACTTCTAGTGCAGTCATTGAAAGACTGTGCCCAGGCACAGTGGCTCATGTCTGTAATCCCAGCACCTTGGGAGGCCAAGGTGGGCGAACCACTTGAGGCCAGGAGTTTGAGACCAGCCTGGCGAACATGGCAAAACTGTCTCTACTAAAAATACAAAAATACCCGGGTGTAGTGGCTCACACCTGTGGTCCCAGCTACTCAGGAGGCTGAGGTGTGAGAATTTCTAGAACCCAGGAGGTGGAGGTTGCAGTGAGGTGACATCACACCACTGAACTCCAGCTTGGGTGACAGAGTGAGACTCCATCTCAAAAAAAAAGACAGACTGATGTGTTCATAAAGATTGTGCTTGTTATTCAAACATGAAGCAGGGCAAGAGCTGATTACAAAGACTGAACTAATAGTGGACTGAAAAATTTTTTATGGCTTTAAGTATACTTTAAGTATATTGATTACTTTTGTAAACAGAATTTGAGGCATATTTCTCTCTCTGCCTAATTTCCCCAGAATTTGTAAACTATTTGTGACTATTAATCCACGGCAATGTGTTTGTTTGTATACGGTCAATAACAAAATGTTTTCTTTTACAATGGAACACAGTTGGAGAAAATGGTTATTTTCCAAGAACTTTAATTGCAAAGGCCTTGTGAGAGGTTCCAACAAAGCCAGCTTAGGAGAGCCTATGTGGACAGTGAGTTTTGCTGTACTTGGTGTGGGTAAACAGGCCATGTATATGGAACTAACCTATTTTACAGGTACATTGGTCCCACTATAATTTGTCTTTGGTGGAAGTGGGGCCGAGAGAGAGAGACTGAGTTCCAGAAGAAACACAGTCTTCTAGTATTAGATTAACCTTTGATTCCTGGGTGGCCACGAGGTCACTCACAGTATGAAGCTTGCCACAATGCCCCTCTTCAGCCATGAAGCAGCCAGAAAGGTCCAGGACCGGATTCCCCATGACTGGGGGATTAATAAATGGAAAGGGAGAACTGAAATCAACCCAATAGTTCCATCAAAAGGGTTTTTGTTTGTTTGTTTTAAAAATAAACATAGAAATTGACCTTTCTGTTCTTAAAGGACATTTGTTTTATTTGAATTCCTTTTTCTGGAAATGACTTTCAGGCCTCTCAAAAAAATTATCAAAGAACCGAAACTCACCAGATCACTACATCCAGTGGGATGCTGGACCCCTCATTCATCTTGACTGCTTCCTTGCCCCTCCCTAGTTCCTGTTTTCTTACACATTGTCACATTTTATCCCTACTCTATAAACCCTTAGTTTTAGTCAGTCCTGGACATGGATTTGAGACTGAACTCTCCTCTCCTTGGCTGCAACACCTAGTTAAAGCCTTTTTCCTTGTCAACACTTGTCTCAGTGATTGGCTATCTGAGCACCAAGACCTAGACCCAACCTCTGGTGTTTCACTAACAAAATAATGAGTGAAATATTTTCCACTCTTTCTTGCATTAAGTCTTTGGCATTGGCATATTGTTTATATGACAGCTCTGCAAATTGGGCTTAGGCACAGACCAAGAGCTCATTAGCCCACAGAAGTCAGTGGTGCCATGCAGGAGAGGGCAGCCCCTCAAGAGGTCCTGAACAGCAAAGGAGAAGAGAGGAGGTGGACGAGGGGATGGACAGAGTGCTTAGTGCTGTTAATAGGGTGCAGAGAGGATGAGGCAGAGGGAGGAGAAGAGATGGGAGAAGATAATTTAGGGTCTTGATGGTCTATTACATAGAACCCCCAGTTTCTGGCATGGATTGCTCTGGAAGAGCACTCTCTGCAATTGGGACCCCAGTTAGAACACTGTCCTTATTCCCTCCATTCCTGCTGCATCTCCAGGAGCAAAACACTTACCCTCAGTGGGGTCAGCGCCATTTGGGAGAACCAGCAGCCTTGTCCTCTGAGACCCTTTATTTTCTGCCAGTCTCTGTAACACACAGTGGGGAATGCCTTAGTCTGAGTCAGGAGTCCTGCAGTCTAGTACTGACGCTGACCGCCAGCCAGCCCTGAGACCTGCAGCCTGTCACTTTCCCTCTTGGGTCACCTTGGAGATGGAAAAAACCCTCTGGTCCCCCATAGCTCATAGCCACTCTCCATTGCAGGCATTACCACCTCAGTTCCACCCCCGGTCAGATCAGCAGTGGCACCAGATTCTTATGGGAGCATGAACCCTATTGTGAACTGTGCATGTGAGGGGTCAGGTCACATGCTCCTTATGAGAATCTTATGTCTGATATGTCACTGTCTCCCATCACCCTCAGATGGGACCATCTAGTTGCAGGAAAAAAAAAAAAAAACAAGCTTAAGGCTCCCATTAACTGTATAGTATGATGAATTGCATAATTATTTCATTATATATTATAGTGTAATCAGAATAAAGTGCACGATAATGCAATGTGCTTCAATCATCCCAAAACCACCTCCACCTGCCAGTCCATAGAAAAATTGTCTTCCAGCCAGGTGCAGTGGCTCACACCTATAATCCCAGCACTTTGGGTGGCCAAGGCAGGCGGATCACAAGGTCAGATTGAGACCATCCTGGCCAACATGGTGAAACCCCATCTCTACTAAAAATATGAAACAATTATCTGGGCATGGTGGCGCATGCCTGTGCTCCCAGCTACTTGGGAGGCTGGGGCAGGAGAACTGCTTGAACCTGGGAGGTGAAAGTTGCAGTGAGGTGAGATCATGCCACTGCACTACAGGTGAGACTCTGTCAGCCTGGACAACAGTGTGAGACCCCAAGAAAAATTGTCTTCCGCAAAACTGGTCCCTGGTGCCAAAAAGGTTGAGGACCATTGGTGTATAATATAATATCTTTTTTATACAGATACACTGATGCATCGATTTGGACAAACAATTACAGGAAATGATTTCTCATAGTTACTTGAGGAAAAAGACCCAGGGCACTGCAGAGGAGTGGAGGATGCTCTCTCTATTCACTGTGTACCTTTCATGAGTTTAAATTTTCTGTTTGTTTGTTTGTTTAGATGGAGTCTCGCTTGTTGCCTAGGCTTGAGTGCAATGGCGCGATCTCACCTCACTGCAACTTCTGCCTCCCAGGTTCAAGCAATTCTCCTGCTTCAGCCTCTCGAGTAGCTGGGATAACAGGCACACGATGCCATGCCCGGCTAATTTTTTGTATTTTAGTAGAGATGGGGTTTCACTGTGTTGCCCAGGCTGGTTGCGAACTCCTGAGCTTAGGTGATCCGCCTGCCTCAGCCTCCCAAAGTGCTGGGATTACAGGCGTGAGTCACTGCACCTTGCTGATAGTTTAAATTTTCTCACTTCTCTTGAAAATGTCAAAGCACTTAATTAAGCTGGAGAGATGACTGACTTTTTAATGTTTGCTTGTTTTTTACATTTTTAGTTAGAATAAACGGATACTTATGCAAGAATGGAACAGCCTAGGTGGAAGAAGATCTTTGTCTAGATGAGCATTTAACCTCTGATCAAGGAGGGACCCAAAGCAGAGGGAAACAGGAGAATCAGTGGCTCAACGGGGTTGGAAAAACCAGACAGTGACTAGAACAATTCAGGAAGTGCCTCGCTTTGCATTGAAACACAAAACAAGTTCCATTTATGTTATATAGTGACACGCAAAAATCACATCATTGAAAAAATATCTCCATCAGAAGTTAGGGAAGTTCATTTTGTGTTGGGAAAAGGTCTTTCTACAGTAACGAGCAATGAAAAAGTAAATATATCTACAGATTTCACTGGTTAAAAATTAAAACTTCTACATCGGAAAATATTAGAACAAAAAGGGGCAAGAAATCAGGACTCTCCTGTCTGAATGTGAGAAACAAGTAGGAGAGCATGCATGCCTTTTCATAAAGACTCTGTAGACAAGACACCGATTTTATGCAAAAACAGTCAAAACAAAGAAGTGTTCATTTAAGGCCAGGCACAGTGGCTCATGTCTGTAATCCCAGCACTTTGGGAGGCCAACACAGGCGGATCACGAGATCAAGACCATCCTGGCTAACATGGTGAAAGCCCATCTCTACTAAAAATACAAAAAATTAGCTGGGTGTGGTGGCATGTACCTGTAGTCCCAGAGACTTGGGAAGCTGAGGCAGGAGAATCACTTGAACCCAGGAGGTGAGGTTGCAGTGAGCCAAGATCGTGCCACTGCACTCCAGCCTGGGTGACAGAGCAAGACTCCGTCTCAAAAAAAAAGAAAAGAAATGTTTGTAATGTTTTCCTAAATACAAAAAAAAAAAAAAAAAACCCTTTGATGTCAGATCAAAATACATGAACTAGTACAATCCAACACTAGGAGGCTGTGTGCGTGTGTGTACCTGCATGTGTGTGTACCTGTGTGTACGTGCATATGCGTATGTGCATGTGTGTGTATGTGCATGTGCACAGTAAGCAACACTTCTACATGCTGACTTGGAAATCGTGCTTCTTCTTAGAAGTCTCCGTATAACCATATTCAGAAATCTGGACAGAGATTTACATTCAAATCTGTTTGATACAATACTAATTTGAGAGTAAATTTTAAACCCCCGCTATATGAACAAGGGCTCCCTGAGTTCTGCTAGGAGCACACAGTGGAGACTGTGCAGCCTTCATTCAGTCATCAGTGAACCCTGTGATCCCCCACTCTATGCCTGTGGAGCTCCAGGTTCTGAGGACACAGCAAGGACATGACAGGGACTAAGAAGCAGATGTCCTTCAGCGTGGCTGTGCCCTTGTGAGGACAGCTGATTCTTCCCACGCAGCCCCATTCCCTGCAGTCCCATCTCCCTCAGGTTCCACGTCCCCCTTGGCCAGGAGAACTGAGGCACCGCCCTCGCTCTCTGCCTATAAGGTCTTGAAGAGGCCTGACCCCCACTCACCAGCAGAGACTGTGCCTCCCCGGGGGACTGTACAATGACATCTGTCAAATCTGCCGGCTCCTGGCTTTCCACTGGCTCCTCAGAAGCTAAAGTGGACATCGAGTCTGCATTGCTCAGAATCTCGTTGTGATCATTGTCCTTAGCCTCAGGCCCTCGTAGAGGCCACCAGCAGAAAGAACGGACCTTAGGAAGGCAAAGAGCCAACTCAGAAGCCCATACCCAGGGCTCCCCACAGCATCCCCAGGGCACAGCTGGACCTGCTGCCCCTACCCCCTCCCAATGAGGTCACCCCAGGAAGTCCATGCTTAATACATCCAGGACCTGTTGCTGGGGCCAGGCCCTGGTGCAGGGGCTCACCCCATCCCCAGGGTACAGGTTGGGTGAGGGTGTCACCCAGGCTGCAGGAAGGGACATGGCTGTAGCATGGCCTGCCAGCCTATGTGATGCTCCAAATGGCCTGTGTCCCCTAAAGTCAATCTGCATCATCCAGGTCACTTTGGAGACTCAAGGCAGCCATGAGAACATGGGACCCACCCACCCGGGCTATACTGTGGGCAGGGAGCAGTTCCTGAGCCCCGGGTGCCCCTAGCTCCTGGAGAAATCAACTCACGCTGTCCATGCACCGGGAGTCTCTTCCACGACCTAGAAGAGAAAGGGGTTTCCTTAGCGGGCAGGGAAGGGCCCATGCAGCACTCCTCCTTAGAGGCCAGTGTTGGGTAGGGGTGGGCTGGGGGCTAGGACACTGGACAAGGAGTCCCGGGCCTCATTCACATGAGGCCTTGCCAACTCGGGAACTCCCTCAGGACATTGAGTATAAGGGGAAGTGGAGTAAAAACGTGGACAATCTCTGTGTTCTGCTGTGTTCTTCTCTGACCAAAGCTAAATAAATCCCCTGACCACTTCTCGTCCTGACTCTTGTCACCCAGTTGGGGAGCTGACTGTCCCCTGCCTGGCTGGGCCTGAACATGGGAGGAACTGGCCCTGCCCTCTCAGACTTGATGGGGAGATGAGGGGACCCCAGCCCTGGGAGAGGGACTGATGAGACCAAGGTCCTGGGAAGTGCACAGGATGAGGACATGGGGGGTGATCACAAGGAGGAAGATAGAGCCAGGACGGAGACGCCAGGACAGAGACACCAGGACTTGGGGCACAGGTGGACAATTCTGTCTGTGGGAACAGGAGGAGGCAGGGCAGAGAGTGCCCAGCGTCCCTGTCCTCAGCCAGCACCTACCTGAGCGGATGCACCAATAGATAATCAGTATGGGCACAAACAGAGGCAACACAACTATGAGTAAAATCATCCATGCATCAGGTCCATTGCCTGAGAAAAGACAGGAGAAGACAGGAGTTCCCAGGCTGGCAGGCACTGTCTCCTCCGCAGCTGGGGCTTCCCCAGTGGGCTTTGTACCTGATTTTTCTTCACAGCTGATGTCACTCTGTGGCGTACAATCACTGACTGGAACCATCCCACTGGGGCACCTGGGTACACACAGGGAGGGAGCAAATTACTCTTGGCCCTTAAAACCCAAATAGGAAAAGGAGGACAGGTCTTATTGACAAATCAGACACCAGGGGTGAAGCCAGCTGGGTTGGCTCAGATCCTCATGGGAACTTAAGGGAGCTCCACCCACGGCCTTATTACACCTTTTGCAGGCTGTGGGCATTTCTGTGTTCTTGCATTAAAAGCAAATATTAAAAATTACATTTTAGGACTCAATTAGTTTAAGTATAAATACAACCCTGGCTGGATTCTGTCGTTGTTTTCTTATGATTTCAAGATAAAATATTTCCTGCACCTCTCTGATGGGTTCTTAAGTCATGGCCTCCTAAGACCAGTGAACAAGTCAGCCTGGCCAAGGGGACTTGTGGTGGAGAGGCAGGAGAGGGCCACTGCAGAAGGCAGGGGTGGGGACAGTGAGATGGACCAGGAGGGACCACTGCAGGCTCAGAAGACCTCACATGGTAAGGGATGCCCCATGGGAAGAGGAGGCACTATGCGGTTGGGGGGAGATAGGAGCACAAGGAGACTCAGGTCTTCTTGAGGTTCCTGGTTTCTGGGGGCTCCTTGGGGCTGCTGGGAGCCCCTGGCTGCTGTCTCACCGTACGCTGCATTTACGACACATCTCAGGGGAATCTTCTTCCCGGAAGGTGCCTGGGTTGCACTGACACACTCTGTTCCTGGTCGTGGTGCAGGGACTTAGCTCTTCTTCATCTGATGACAGAGCAGATTTGTTTCCCTGACGTGTCCCTCGACCCTTCCTCACCACCCCGAACCCCTCCCACTCAGCTCAGCTCAACTTGGTTTACCAAGGAGTTCTGAGGGCCGGTTTTCTACCAGCACACTTGGGGCTCATACAAGACACCCACCCTTCGGCCGTCACCAATACTGAGAGTAATATAAAGGACCATGATTCATTATTTATTACATCAGATTAGGGGGAAAGCACCATTTCGATCACATGGTCAGTAGCAAAAAAGGCACAGGGTCATTTGAGAGACTCTGCAAGGAGAGGAGCCCTCGGGTGACTTCCCAAAAACCCAGCCTGCTGGGGAGGAGAAAGGGGCCTGAGAACCTGAAGGCTGAATGAGGCTGAGCACCTTCCAGGAGCACAGAGCCCGGGGAGAGAGCCTGGCCCTGGAGCAGACCCACGCCGCCACTGAAACCCAGCCCTGTCCACTCGGCCAGGTCTTCTCTGTGCTATAACGATGCCCCCACCCTCTCGCAGCTGACAGTTTGCACTACACAGGTGGCATGCATTATAAATATGATTTCTTTCTGTTTTATTTTATCAACCAAAGTCATAATCATGGAACAGGGTATGCTGAAGACCAAGTTGGGCTGGAACTTGGTTCCCTGACTCACATCGGCTACAACTCCCACCTCATTGCCCCACCCTCACACCTCTGGGCAAGGGGTCCACACATTCTGTACCTGATTTACAAACTCTACATGGGCAGCAAGAAGGCAAGTTGTTGGACTCATTGGGGTAACCTCCACCAGCCATGTACTGGTTACAATCTCCACTGGGTTCTAATTGGAAATATTCTGGAAGGGGAGAGAAAAGCCAGTGAATGAATTGCCACAGAGATTCCAGAGGCCGGTGGCGGTGGCTGGGATACTCTTCTTTTGGCCACAGGGAAATCCCCTCTCTCGGCTTGATCTTGTCATCAATTCTGCATCTATTACACACGTCTGACTGGCACAGCTGACAGAAATATAATGCAAGCTACATACATAATCCAAATTCTGTGAGGGCCATATTAAAATAAGTAAAAAATAAGTAAAACAAATAAAAAAGAAAAAAGTCAAATTAATTTTAACAATGTATTTTTTGAACTTAAAATATCCAAAACATTAGCTTTTTTTTTTTGGCTGGGGAGGCCTCTGCAAACTTGCAGTCATGGTGGAAGGCAAAGGAGAAGCAAGGGGCATGTCTTCTTTTTTTTTTCCTTGAAAAAAAGAAAAGAGAGAAGGAAAGAAAGAAAAAAAAGGAGCGTAGGAGAGGAAGAAAGAGGAAGAAAAAGAGGGAGAACGGGAATGTTGCTTTATGCTAAAAATGGGTATTGAAAACCTCTTTTATGCTAATAATTGTGCTTAATAATGGTTGATCAATATTTCATTTAAACCTATGAGTAGGTGTGATGTGGTACTGACAAGAATGTATATTTTGTGTATTTAAAGTGGAGAGCTCTATAAATGTTAAGTTTACTTGTTCCAGATCTGAGTTCAAGTCCTGGATATCCTTATTAATTTTCTGTCTCGTTGATCTATCTAATATTGATGTTGAAGTCTCCCACTATTATTGTGTGGGTGTCTAGGGAGTCTAAGTCTCTTTACAGGTCTTATGTATCTGGGTGTTAGGATCATTAGCGCTTATTATTGCATTGATCCTTTTACCACTATATCTTTGTTGCTTTGAAATCTATTTTATCAGAGGTGAGATTTGCAACTCCTGCTTTTTATTTATTTATTTATTTTTGCCTTCCATTTGGTTGATAAATCTTTCTCCATCCCTTTGTTTTGAGTCTCTGTGTATCCTTGCATGTGAAATGGGTCTGGATGTAGCATACCGTTGGGTTTTGGCTGTATCTTTTGATTGGGGGATTTAGTTGATTTAAATTTAGGATTACTGCCATTTGATGTTAACTGGATGTTTTGTCCATTCGTTGATGTAATTTTGACAGTCTCACTCTGTCGCTGCCCAGGCTGTAGTGCAGTGGTATGATCTCGGCTCACCGCAAACTCCACCTCCCAGGTTCAAGTGATTCTCCTGCCTCAGCCTCCTGAGTAGCTGGGATTACAGGCACATACCACCACGCCTGGCTAATTTTTAGTAGAGATGGGGTTTCACTATGTTGGCCAGGCTAGGTCTCGAACTCCTGACCTTAGGTGATCTACCTGCCTCTGCCTCCCAAGATGCTGGGACCACAGGAGTGAGCCACCTCACCCAGCCAACATTAGCATTTCAACATGTAAACAAGATAAAACATTGAGATATTTTCTTTCTTTTTTTTTTTTTTTTTTTTTTTTGAGACGGAGTTTCGCTCTTGTTACCGAGGCTGGAGTGCAATGGCGTGATCTCGGCTCATCGCAACCTCCACCTCCTGGGTTCAGGCAATTCTGCCTCAGCCTCCCAAGTGGCTGGGATTACAGGCACACGCCACCGTGCCCAGCTAATTTTTTTTGTATTTTTAGTAGAGACGGGGTTTCACTATGTTGACCAGGATGGTCTCCATCTCTTGACCTCGTGATCCACCCGCCTCGGCCTCCCAAAGTGCTGGGATTACAGGCATGAGCCACCGCGCCCGAACGATATTTTCTTTTATTTTGAATATTGTATTTGAAACCCAGAGTGTATATTTCACTCACTGCACATCTCAATTCAGAGTCGCTGTGTTTGAAGTGATTAATGGCCACATGGGCCTAGAGACCAGGGCAATGGTCTCTTCCACCTGGGTCCCTGGAAACTTACAAAAAGTCATAATGCCTGTCCTCAGTGACTCATGGTCAGTAGAAGGCACAAACAGGCACAGAGGCAATACAGCAATGAGGGGAAGGCTTCAGATATAGCCCATGCCACCTGCCATGGGAGGAAAATGGAAGGAAAAATGGGTCCTCCCTGTACAGAGTCAAAGAATGATCCATAGAAAGGGGGCCTATGGGCTGTGCATAGTAGCTTATGCCTGTAATCCCAGCACTTTGGGAGGCCAAAGTGGGCAGATCACAAGGTCAGGAGTTCAAGACCAATCTGGCCAACATAGTGAAACCCTGTTTCTACTAAATATACAAAAAATTAGCCAGGCATGGTGGCAGGGGCCTGTAACCCCAGCTACTCAGGAGGCTGAGGCAGGAGAATCATGAGAACCCGTGGGGGCAGAGGTTGCAGTGAGCTGAGATCATGCCATTGCACTTCAGCCTGGGTGACAGTGTGAGACTGTGTCTCAGAAAAAAAAAAAAAAGAAAAAGAAAAGAAAAGGGGCCTGCTTCATGCTCCCCTGGATTGCAGAGGGTCTCCAGGCATTAAGGTGACAGCTGCAGGAGCCATCGCCAGCAGGAGCCCGAGTCTGGAGGGTCGACCTTCACCTCCAGGGCTTTGACCCTTTAGGTGACCTCACTCTCCCCCTTCAGTGCCTATTTATCCCCCTCTACTGATTCATATTTATTAATATTGAAAGATACTCTTAGAAACCCAAACTGTGAAAAAAAACTTCCTTGATAATGTGTTATGATGATTATATGACCAATGATAAAAATGTGATTATTCAGTGATAGTGTGGGGGCAACAAAGGTTACGGCTGAAAAATCATAAAGCTTCTTGCTTATGCTCTCCCTATAAGGAAATAAAGACTAGGTATATTTAGGTATATCAAGGTGTCAACTATAAAGTATGAAATCACACAAGTACTACATGAGAAATTTTTCTTCCAGGTTTGGAGAAGGAAACGACCTTCTCAACCTCACAGGAAATTAAAAAGTTGCATAAAGTAGGGCTAGGCACGGTCACTCACGCCTGTAATCTCAGCACTTTGGGAGGCCGAGGTGGGGGATCACCTAAGTTTGGGAGTTCAAGACCAGCCTGACCAACATGGAGAAGCCTCGTCTCTGCTAAAAATACAAAATTAGCTGGGCAAGGTGGTGCATGCCTGTAATCCCAGCTACTCAGAAGGCTGAGACAGGGGCATTGCTTGAACCGGGAGGTGGAGGTTGTGGTGAGCCAAGATTGTGCCATTGTACTCCAGCCTGGGTGACAAGAGTGAAACTACATCTCAAAAAAAAAAAGTTGCTTAAAGTTAACTATATAAAAATTAGGAAGAAAACTGCATGGAAGAAATCATGACTAAGATAAAAACTAACTAGGAGGAAATAACTGAAATTCAAAAAAAATTCTAGAAAGAAGAAATCATGACTAAGATAAAAACAAACTAGGAGGAAATAATTGAAATACAAACCACACTTAAAAGCATAGTTTCCTTAAACTATAGGAATTCATACAAAAAAATTCTAGAAAGAACATCAACAAGAAAGTAGTAGACTTGAACAATACATTAACAACTAGACCGGACAGATGTCTATAAAATGCTCTACTCAATCGAAACAAGATATACATTCTATTAAAGTGCACACAGAACATTCTCCAGAGTAGACCATAAGCTCGGCCACGTCGTAAACCTTAATACACTTAAAGGACAGAAATCATCCAAAGTATTCACTTCTACCACAATGGAATAAATTTGGAAATCTATAGCAGGAAGAAAGTGGAGAACCTCACAGCTACATAAAACTTAAATAGCACACTCCTTTTTTTTTTTTTTTTTTTTTTGAGGCAGTTTCATTCTTATTGCCCAGGCTGGAGTGCAATAGTGCAATCTCAGCTCACTGCAACCTCTGTCTCCAAGGTTCAAGCGATTCTCCTGCCTCAGCCTCCCAAGTAGCTAGGATTACGAGCATGTGCCACCACACCTGGCTAATTTTGTATTTTTAGTAGAGACGGGGTTTCTCCATGTTCGTCCGACTGGTCTCAAACTCCCAACCTCAGATGATCCACCTGCCTCAGCCTCTCAAAGTGATAGGATTATGGGTGCAAGCCACCACGCCTGGCCATAGCACACTCCTGAATAACCAATTGGTCCAAGAAAAAATCAAGAGGTATCAGAAAATAAGTTGAATGAAAATGAAGACACAACATACCAAACCTATGGGATTCAGCTTATGTAGCTGAAGTTTAGAAGGAAATTGTTAGCTGTAAATGCCTATTTAGGAAGAAGAAATATCTCAATCTATAACCTAATAATCCAGCAAGCAGACTGAAGAAAACAATACAGGTTAGAGCAGAAATTAATGAGACAGAGAATAGAAAAACAACAGAGTAAATTAATGAACCCAAAATTTAGTTCTTTAAATAGATTGATACATTGGCACAGGAATTTGCGTTAAAAAATTAACACAGGGAAAAAATAAGAAGACTCAAATTATAGTCATCCACTGCATGACGATGTTTTGGTCAGCGATGAACCACCTATGTGGTTCCCATAATATGGTGGTCCCGTAATGTGATGATGGAGCAGAAAAACCCCTACTGCTTAGTAACGCCATAACTCTGTGCATTGCTCAGGAGAAATTCAAGCTGACTGCAGAAATTGGCGTTAAGTAATGAGGAGCTGAATGTTCATCCCCAAAACAATGGGGAAAATGTCTCTAGAGCATGTCAGAGGTCTTCATGGCAGCCCCTCCTATCACAGGCCTGGAGGCCTAGGAGAAAATGGTTTCCTGGTACAGGCCCACGGTCCTGTATTGTATGCAGTCTAGGGACTTGGTGTCTGACATCCCAGCCACTCCAGCTGTGACAAAAAGGGACCGAGGTACAGCTTGGGCTGTTGCTTCAGAGAGTGGGAGCCCCAGGTCTTGGCAGCCTCCATGTGGTGTTGAATCGGTGAGTGCACAAAAGTCAAGAATTGAAGTTAGAGAACCTCCACCTAGATTTCAGAAGAGGTATGGAAACACTTGGATGCCCAGGTAAAAGTTTGCTGCAGAGGCAGGGCCCTCACAGAGAATGAAGGGAAGGGAAATGTGGCATCAAAGCTCCCATACGGAGTCCTACTGGGGAACTGCTTAGTGAGCTGTGAGAAAAGGGCCATCATCCTTCAGACCCCAGAATGGCAGAACCACCAATAGTTTAACCATGCACCTAGAAAAGCTGCAGACACTCAGCACCAGCACATGAAAGCAGCCAAGATGGGAGAGGGGGGCTATACCTTGCAATGCCACAGGGGCAGAGCTGCCCAAGACCATAGGAACCCACCTCTTATATCAATGTGACCTGGATGTAAGACATGGAGTCAAATGAGATCATTTTGGAGCTTTAAGATTTGACCGCCCTGCTGAATTTCAAACTTGCACGGAGCCTGTAGCCCTTTGTTTTGGCCAATGTCTCCCATTTGGAATGGCTATATTTACCCAATGCCTGTACCTCCACTGTATCTAGGAAGTAAATAAGTTGCTTTTGATTTTACAGGCTCATAGGCAGAAGGGACTTGCCTTGTCAGATGAGACCTTGGACTATGAACTTTTAAGTTAATGCTGAAATGAGTTAAGACTTTGGGTGACTGTTGGGAAGGCATGACTGGTCTTAAAATGTGAGGACATGACATTTGGGAGGGGCAGGGGTAGAATAATATGGTTTGGCTGTATCCCCACCCAAATTTCATCTTGAATTCCCACATGTTGTGGGAGGGACCTGTTGGGAGGTAATTGAGTCATTGGGGCACATCTTTTCCATGCTGTTCTTATGATAGGGAGTAAGTCTCATGATATCTGATGGTTATTACAAGGGGCAGTTTTCCTGTCCAAGCTCTTTCCTTGCGGCCATCCATGTAAGATGTGAGTTGCTCCTCCTTGCCTCCTGTCATGATTGTGAGGCTTCCCCAGCCAATGGCACTGTAAGTCCAATTAAGCCTCTTTCTTTTGTAAATTGCCAGGCTTAGGTGTGTCTTTATCAGCCCAGTATAAATGGACTAATACAATTACCTTAATATTAAGACCAGAGAAGGAATTCACAAAGAAAGAAAACTACAGATTAATAATTCTTATGAATATGGATGCTGCAACAAAATACTAGCAAGTTGAATCCAAAAGCATATAAAAAGAATTATATACCAGGACCAAATGAGTTTTATCCTAGAAATACAAGGTTTGTTCAACATCCCAAAATAAATCGATGTAACAAATTATATCAATAGAATAAAAAGCAAAAGTCACAGGATTATCTCAAAAACAGAGAAAGCATTTTACTAAAACCAACACTCTTTCATGATAAAAATCACAAAATAAAAGTGAACTTCTTCAACCTGATAAAGAATATCTACAAAAACTCACAGCTAACATTATATTTAATGGCGAACAACTGAAAGATTTTCTCCAAAAAAGATATCTGTTATCACTGCTTGCATGCAATATTGTACTGGAGGCTCTAGCTAGGACAACTAGGTAAGTAAAAGAAATAAAAAGCATCCTTGGCTGGGCATGGTGGCTCATGCCTCTAATCCTAGCACTTTGGGAGGCTGAGGTGGGCGGAACACAAGGTCAATAGATTGAGACCATCCTGGCCAATATGGTGAAACTCTATCTCCACTAAAATACAAAAAAGTAGCCGGGCATGGTGGCAGGTTCCTGCAGTCCCAGCTACTCAGGAGGCTGAGGCAGGGAAATTGCTTGAACCCAGGAGGCGGAGGTTGCAGTGAGCTGAGATCACGCCAGTGAACTCCAGCCTGGTGACAGAGCCATATTTCCTCTCGAAGTCAAAAAAAAAAAAAAAAAAATCCAGATTGAAAAGGAAAAGGTAAAACTTTATTTGATTTGCAAATTATATGATACTATATAGGGAAAATCCTAAGGAAGCCACGATAAAAGCATTAAGAATAATAAATAGGGCCGGGCGCGGTGGCTCACGCCTGTAATCCCAGCACTTTGGGAGGCTGAGGCGGGTGGATCACCAGGTCAAGAGATCGAGACCATCCTGGTCAACATGGTGAAACCCCGTCTCTACTAAAAATACAAAAAATTAGCTGGGCATGGTGGCACAGGCCTGTAAACCCAGCTACTCAGGAGGCTGAGGCAGGAGAATTGCCTGAACCCAGGAGGCGGAGGTTGCGGTGAGCCGAGATCATGCCATTGCACTCCAGCCTGGGCAACAAGAGTGAAACTCTGTCTCAAAAAAAAAAAAAAAATCAATTATATTTGTATACACTCACAATGAATCCTAAAATGAAATCAAGAAAAGGTTTTATCCACTTTCGCATAAAAAAGTATTGAATATCTGGGAGTAAGTTTAACAAAATCAACCCTAAATCTATAGTCTGCAAACTACAAAGCATTATTTTAAAAATTAGAGATGATCTAAATTTGAAAAATTTTTTAAAAGTAAACTCATGCTTTGGATTAAAAGACTTCTCATTGTTAAGATGCCAGTGACCTCTACACTGAGCTACAGGTTCAGCATAATCCCTGTGATAAACTCAGCTGATTTTAGAAATTGGCAAGCTGCTCCTAAAATTCATATGAATTGCAAAAGACCCAATATAAGCAAAATAATTCTGGAAAAGGGAAACAAAAAAGGCAGATTCACATTTCCTGATGTCAAAACTCACTACAAGACAGTGTGGCACTGGCAAAAGGACAGATATAGATCAGTGGGAAATAATTGAGAGTCCAAAAATAAACCCATACTTTTATGGTCATCCTTTTTGAAAAGGATGCCAAGACCACTGGGGAAAAAAAAAATCATCATTTCAATAAATGGCAACTGGATAGCCACATGCAAAAGAATGAAGCCGGACTCTGATCTGACACCATTTACAAAAATTAATTGAAAATGCATCAAGAGTTAAACTGCAAAACTCTTACGAGAAAACATGGAGATAAAGCTTCATAACTTTGGATTTGGCAAAGGATCAGTAAATATCTGCTGAATAGAAGAACCAGAAGCTGCAGGAAACAGAAAACTGGAACAACATGGAAAAGGAATGTTATTGATGAATGTAGAGATAATTTTTGTATATGGTAAGGAAAAGGGAGGTGTAAAGAATTAGAGACCAGTCTTAGAATGTACCTGGTGGGCACACTTCTCCCGGAGGGCTATGTTTCCATTGCTGTGAGGCAGGTAATTGATCATCACGTTTGATGGTTACAGCTGAGGCAGGTACAGCCTGTGGGGGCAAAGCAGGGACTGGCATGAGTGGCTTTCAGATCTCACCCTTTACAAGATTAATCTCATATTCCATTCCCTCAGCCTCCAAAACTAGAGAGAATTTGCATCTTTCTCCCAGTTCTAAAATTCAACCATTTATTTGTACTCATATTTGTCCCTTTGCCCCCACGCCCCCAGCCCTTGGCAACTACCGTTCTACTGTCTGTTTCTATGAATTTGACTACTCTACGTACTTCATGTAAATGGAACCACACAGTATCTTATTTTTTTCTTGTAACTGCCATATTTCACTTAGCATAGTATCAGCATGATCCATCCATTTGGTACCATGCATTGGAATTTCCTTCCTTTCCAGTTCCTTTCCAGTGTTTGTGTGTGTGTGTGTGTGTGTGTGTGTGCACGCACATGCATGTATACATATACATATCATATTTGTTCATCTGTCAATGGACACTTGGATTGTGTCCACAATTTAGCTATTGTGAACAACCCCGGTATGAACATGGGTGTACAAAATCTCTTTGAGCCCCTTCTTTCAGTTCTTTTGGATATATACCCCAAGGTAAGATTGCTGTTTTCCTCCGAGAGTTGTATAATTCTTGTAGATCTTACATTTAGGCCACATATGAAAAGCCAACAGCTAGCATCCTACTTAACAGTGAAGGACTAAAGGTTTTTTCTCCAAGATCAGGAATAAGACACAGAGGCCTCCTGTCGTCACTTCTATGGTGTCAGGGTAATGCAGGGCCCACAGAAAGAGTTAGAAAGAGGTCCGTTCCCTCCAACTCAATTTCTTGGAAGAGTTTGAGAATTAGTAGATGTCATCATGGAAGAAGTTTTTCCTCCTTCTTTATGTCCTGAAACAATTTGTCTACTGTTGGTGTTATTTCTTCCAAAAACACTTATAGAATTCATCAGTGAAATGACATGGGACTGCAGTGTTCATCATTGTGAGCATTTAAACAATGAATCCCACTGGGGATGGTGGCTCACACCTGTAATCCCAGCACTTTGAGAGGCCGAGGCGGGTAGATCACCTGAGAACAGGAGTTTGAGACTAGCCTGACCAACAGGGTGAAATCCCGTCTCTACTAAAAATACAAAAAATCAGTCGGGTGTGGTGGTGGGTGACTGTAATCCCAGCTACTCGGGAGGGAGGCTGAGGCATGAGAATTGCCTGAACCTGGGAGGTGGAGGTTGCAGTGAGCCAAGTTTACACCACTACACTCCAGCCTGGGTGACAGAGTGAGACTCCATCTCAAAATAAATAAATAAATAATGAACTCCAATTCATAGACACTTTAGGAATATTTAAATTAGCTTTACCCCTTGTGGCTATTTTGCTGAGTAGTGTTTTTCAAGAAATTTTCTATTTAATCTAAGTTGTCAAATTGATTGGCATAAAGTTACTCATGAGATCCCACTGCTACCCTTTTACTAGCTGTGGAGTTTGTAATAATATCCCATCATTAATTCTTGATATTGGTATTTCATGCTGTTCTTTGTTTCTTTTGAACCTTGCTTTATTACTTTTACTAATTTTGTTGACCACTTCTGAGAACCAACTCTTGGCTTATTGATTCCTTTTATTGTTTGAATTCTGTTTCATTGATTTCACGCTCATTATTTCCTTGTCATCTTGTTACTGCTTTTGAGTTTAATTGATCACTTTTTTCTTTTTTTTAAGATGGAGTCTTGCTCTATCACCAGGCTGGAGTGCAGTGGTGTGATTCCAGCTCGCTGCAACTTCCATTTTCTGGTTTTAAGCAATCCTCCTGGCTCAGCCTCCTGAGTAGCTAGGACTACAGACATGCACCACCACACCCCACTAATTTTTTTTTTTTTTTTTTTTTTGTATTTTTAGTAGAGATCGAGTTTCATCACGTTGGCCAGGATGGTCTCGATCTCTTGACCTCATGATCCGCCCACCTCAGCCTCCCAAAGTGCTGGGATTACAGGCGTGAGACACCACGCCTGGCCAATTGACACTTATTTTATGGGTAAATAATGCAGACCTCTGAGTCATTGATTGTGATACCATTCTTCTTTTAATCCTAAAGCACTTTACTGAGATAAACATTATATATATAATTATTTCCTTTAAATATACTTATAGAAGTGTATAACCAGCAGTAAAATTAATTTTTGAATATTTTCATCACCCCAAAAAGAAACTCCATGCCCATTAGCAGTCACTCCTTGTTTTCCCCAACTCCCAATTCTTTTCACAGAAGCTGTGAGAGCTGTGTATGTCACTCTAAGCACTGACTTAGTGGCTTCCCACACATTTCCACATATTATATAATTATCATCAGCTATTTTGAAATATTTTGAATTCTCTTTTGACTTCATCCATGAACTATGAATTATTTATAAGTATGTTGCTAATATTCACATATGAGGAGTCTATCTAGATATTGTCATTGCAACAATTTAATTTCATTGAGATCAGAGAACATATTTTATATAATTTCCTTCATTTTAAATGTTTTTAGATTTGTTTTATAGCTCACAATGTGGTCTATCTTGGTGGAAGTACCATGTTCATAGAAAAGAATGAATCTCCAGTAGATGTTGCATGCCTGCTCTATAGATGTCAGTTAAGTCAAGGGGGTTGACGGTGTTCAGATCTTCTATTTTCCTGTTCTCATCTGATTGTTCTAATCAATTGTTGAGAAGGGGGCAACATGATCCCCCTTTAGTCCTTTTGAGTGTTGCTTCATGTATTTTAAAGCTCTACTAAAACACATATACATGTTTATGATTATTATGTCTTCTGATGAATTCACTTTTAACACTAAAAATAGTGCATTAAAAAATATATCTGCTAATAGCAAATGAAAACCTGACAACGAGCCCCTGGTGACTCTGGATCTCGGCAGTTCTCAGCATTCTGTTCAGCTGCTCTTCCCACCTCTCACATAAGGCAGTGCAGCCTTCCTAGAACCCATGTTACTCATTCACCCAAGTCGGTGCCGGGTGACCACACTGCAAGGAATCCTGGAGTATCAGGAACAAGGCACGACCCTCCCTTTCCTTAGGACAGTTCCAGTTCACAGGGAGATGAGGCACAGCCATCAATAACCCCAAAGTCCATGAAGGTGTGAAGAGTCATGAGGGGCTGCCCAGGCAGAGGTGACAAATGCTATTGGTGGCAGGGACACTGGTGGACATAGAAGAAAAAGTCCACACAGACAGGCTCCCAGGCAGACAGGAAGTCAAAGCAGTAGGGGAGGGAGTAACAACAAGTGAGGTTGGGACACAGCTCTGCAGTTGTGGGTGTCTCTAATTGAGGGAGATGGAAGTTGTGGTCAGAGAAGTGAGGTTCTCAGTTCACAGATTCTGGCTCATGGGGGTGTGAGGGTATGGGTGTGTGTGTGTGTGTGTGTGCGTGTGCGTGTGAGCGCATTAGAGAGCGAGAGAGACAGGTCTTGTTCCAGGTCTTCTCCTCCACAGACTCTCCTGACCCTGCCTCTTCTTGAGCTGAGTCATTAATCACAGGGTTTCCTTGCCTTGTGTTTACAGGCAAGTTTGGCATTCACACTGTGGTCTCCTCTCTCAAGCATACATATCTTAAAAAATGCCTTGTTGATCTTAAAATGAGCAGTTCAGACCTGTTCTGAAAGTCGTCCTGTGGTTGGAAATCTGCTTCCCCTGAGTCTTTTGTGGCGTTTTTCTTTCTTTCTTTGTTCTTTTAGTATGAAAAGACCCCTGCCTTAAGAAACAAGCCATCTGTCAAAGTCTCGGGCCAGCCTCATGGTTTGGGGGAAGCCACTTCATCTCTAAACATGTCTATCATTCTTGAAATAAGAGGTGGCCTTAAATGACTTCTCAGGGACCCCTAGCTGTGACTCAGCCCTAGGTGAGTGCAGGCCTCATGAACAAGCACCAAATACCCCCCTGGGAAAGGCCAGCACAACCCAGTGACCCAATCACTGCTGCTGCCCCGAGGGTCAGTCATCCTCCTGCCCAGCCCTCCCCTGAATGAATGTTCTTTGTCTCATGACAATGAGGGTTCCTGTACAGTCTGGTTGTATGAGGATTCCGTGTGTTCATATGGGTATAAAGTGCTGAGGACAGACTTGGCACGTGCAAGTACTGTATTTCAGCACATGCTGTTGTGAGTACAAACATTACCCTCAATGTTGATTTTAATCAAACCACATCCTACAAGCCAACAATACCATGACCTGGGGACTTGCAACTCCACAGCCTCCCTCTGCCAGATTCAAGTAGGGAGATGGTATCCCTGGAGCCCGCACAGCCTCTCTGGAGGTGGGGGAGGTGAGGCAGGTGGGACCCCATGCTTCCTGATAGCTATTTAGGTCCCTGGTGACACCTCCTCTACCAGACTGTGGGCTCCGGGGAGCAGGATTCACACAGGGCTCACTTGTCCTCCCACCGCCACCAGGCGTAGACATTCTCAGAGTAAAGGACTCATCACTCACTTCCTGGGTGAATGACTTTCCTTCCAAGCCCATGAGGCGAGCCCAGTGGTGGCCTCAGCTCACTGCTCAGCTCACAGGCTCCAGGCTGCAGCATGGGGAGGGTCCCCCTGAGAGCCCTGTGGACTCTGCTGAGGATCCCCAGGAGCTCCCAGAGGCCAAGGGCAGGGCAGAGATACGCAGAAGCGGCTGTTCAGCAGACCTCAGTCCTGCAGAGGCCAAAACATGGCTGTTGTTATTCAGAAGGGAAGGCCAAAAGTGCTAGAGGCATGGCTCCTGAGGATTATTTTTGCTGCAATCAAAGTGCTGAAACCACTGTTAAGGAGAAAGTCTTCAAAGCAGCCAGAGGCCAGGCGCGGTGGCTCAAGCCTGTAATCCCAGCACTTTGGGAGGCTGAGGCGAGCAGATCACAAGGTCAAGAGATTGAGACCATCCTGGCCAACATGGTGAAACCCCACCTCTACTAAAAATATGAAAAAATTAGCCAGGCATGGTGGCACATGCCTGTGGTCCCAGCTACTCAGGAGGTTAAATTGGAAGAATCACTTGAACTCAGGAAGTGAAGGAAGCGGAGATTGCATCACTGCACTCCAGCCTGGTGACAGAACAAGATTCTGCTAAAAAAAAAAAAAAAAAAAAAGCAGCCAGAGAACAAAGGTCTCCTTCCCACAGACAAGCCAGGTGAGAGGGGCAGCCTCAGCCAGAGAAATCACAGCAGGAGGAGGCAGCGGCAGAGAGCCCACCCCAGGCAGTGTGTCTCTTCCCTCCTCTTCACCAAGACTGTTCCCTCTCCCTCCACTCAGTGCTGAGACCAACAGCAGACATGGGGCAAGGGCTTGATGCACTTAATATGACCTAAGCCATACAAACCTATTACCAGCAAACTCCAATGCCTTCACTTTGAAATTCTCATCATCTAACTTTTTAAAGTGGTCATTCCTAGTTTCCCTCATTCCTACCACTGCTCTGGACAGACTGGCCTGTGGCCTGGTGCACACACTTTCTCCCTCTGAGCTGTGGTTCCCTCCTCTGTAAAATGTGATGATTCATATCTCCTCCTGACCCCAGGCAGGTGTCTGAGGTGCTGAGCACACCCTGCTCTTCCCTACAAAGCAGACTCTTTCTCCTTTCCCTATTATCACAGATACCTGCCTGGGAATCCAAGAGAGGCTCTTCGCAGACCAACAAGCACCTGCTATTATCAAGCAGGCCAGGTCCCAAATGCTGGGGACTTCCTCCTCCTAAATCTCATTTTCTCTCCAAACAAAATGAGAGCAACAATCCCCATCTCTCTGGGGTAGGAAAGTACCCTAAACAAAGATGTGCAGTCTCTGGCTGGGAGGAGGACATCAGCTGTCCATCAGCACAGGCTTGGGGCATGGCACTGTCCCCACGGTCCCCATCCCTGACCTGGAAGCTAAAAGCTAGAGCCTCACTGCACTGCCATTCCTAGATACAGGACAGAAGACCATAACTGGGACTGCTGCTTCTCAGTAGGGGCGGGGTGAGCAGCCAGCTGCAGCCACCTAGATGGAGACATTTCCTGCTCACTCTTCGAACTGCAATCTGGGCTGCATGCCCACTAGAAGGACAACTGAAGTGTGGCAGGTAACCCAGGCTGTGGCCCTGCAGTGCCATCGCTGTCCTCACTTGAAGTCTGGCTCCTCTGTTCCTCCACAGCCCCTCCCCATGGTGCTCCACCCCAGTCTTCAGAAGCTTCTGCCTCAAACTCAGGGAGCTGATACCGAGGTGCAGGTAGGATAGGCTGCAGCCTCTGCTGGTGGAGGGCATGTGCCCTGGGGAACCAGTTCAGAGTGACTGACACTATCGCTGAGGATGTGATTTTTCCTCCCACATGACAGCATACATCTGCCCACACAGTCCACTGCGGTTTACACAGGGCCACTGGGGACTTTTTCTTACATCCGTCTATTTTATAAGAAGGAGCTAGGGCCACACAAGAGTCACCAAGCTGAAGAACAGCACAGCCAACCCTGGCAGTCTTCAGCCTCCGATCTCTGGGCTCTTTAACAGCCTGAGGGTCTGAGCTCCTGAGCCTTTACAATTTCTCATTTCCTACTGGGATAAAGAGAGGGGAGAGGTGGAAGGACGTGGTGTAGAGATTGGACCAGCCCAGCACTGACAGAGCCAGGACCTGAGGTCAGAAACTGAGCTTATCTCTAGGCTCATCTGAGGTTATCCTGACAGGCTGAGGACAGAGACCTTATCTCCATTCACAGGCATGGCGAGTGGCAGGGACTGGCCCCAGCTGACCACGGTTTCCCAGATGCATAGGTGTGACTGCAGTCTTCCCTGCTCCCTCCCCTGCTGTCTCATCTGGAGTCTCAAAGTCATCTACTCCCAGTCTCAAAAAATTCCTGGATCCTTGAAAATCTTTAATAACATTGAAATAAAAAATACAACATTGGGATGTATCATTTTTTTTACCTCTTAGACTAAGAAAGAATGAAAATTCTGTGTAGTAAGGGTGCAGAGACACGGGCACGCTTGGGTACTCTTGGTGTGAGTGTAAAATTGACACAACCTTCTCCCAAAGGACAATTTAGCAACATCCAAACAAAATTCTAAATTGATGAGCTCATTGACCCAGCAATTCCTCTCCTCAGGAGCTGCCTAATACTCCAGTGAACGTGGATATACGGACACGTGACACATACAAGGGTTCTCACTACAATCCTGCTGGAATTAGCACAAAGGGAGGATATCATGTTAACCATTGTCCATAGGATGGAAAATTAAAATCAACTGTGGTTCACCCCATGTGTTTCACCCATGCACTAAATATAATGATGCTGTTAAAAAGAGTGAGACACATGCAGGTACTGACGGAAAACACCTAAAGCGATTTGTTGTTCACTCAGAATTTTTAAAACCTAAGGTGCCTATAAATGCACAGGTAGAAAGCTGTTGGATGGTGGGATGAGAGGGTCCTGTGGGACGGCAGAAGGCCTTGGCGTCTGCTTATGGGTTCTACCAGGTCTCATGCTGAAATCTGAACCCCAGCGTAGCTGGTGGGGCCTGTTGGGGTCTGGGGATGGGGTGTATCCCTCATGAAGGACATGGTGCCATACCCACCTCCTCTCCCATCCCCCGCAGGGAATTGTCACTCTTAGTTCCCCTGAGAGCTGGTTGTTAAAATGAACTTGGCCCCTCCCCGTCCCTTTGCTCAACTCTTTCCCCTCCCCCACCGTCCTCCCCATCCCCTTTCCCTGATGGGCAGAATCCAGCTGTCCTTCCCCTTGGCCATGAGTGGAATCTTCCTACCAGAAGCAGATGCCGGTGCCATGCTTTTTGTGTAGCCTGCAGAACCACGTGCCAAATACACCTCTTTATAAATTACACAGCCTCAAGTATTCTTTTACAGCCACTTAAACCAACTGTCACATTTCCCAAACCACCACATTCAGATGTTTGATCTTGTCTACACAGGTGAGCCCTACATCTACCTGGACTCACACTGGCCGGGTGCGGTGGCTCACGCCTGTAATCCCAGCACTTTGGAAGGCCTAGACGGGTGGATCACGAGGTCAAGAGATCGAGACCATCCTGGTCAACATGGTGAAACCCCGTCTCTACTAAAAATACAAAAAAGTAGCTGGGCATGGTGGTGCGTGCCTGTAATCCCAGCTACTCAGGAGGCTGAGGCAGGAGAATTGCCTGAACCCAGGAGGCGGAGATTGCGGTGAGCCGAGATCGCGCCATTGCACTCCAGCCTGGGTAACAAGAGCGAAACTCCATCTCAAAAAAAAATAATAATAATAATAAGTAAGCATCAACCGTGGGTTCCACCTCATATAAACTGATGTTTAAAACATAAATTCTGTAATTATTTGCAGATTACAAAATGCCATTAGTTTCCTGGATCTTGTTTACTTTGTTTAAAAAACTTGAAATTTCCTGACACCTGTAAGACTGGTTTTTATCCTTGAGCTATTTAGCTTTTGTTTCGTGCTTCCTCGATGTGGAAGAAATCTGGAAGAGAGCAAGTGGCAGAGCCTCTGCCGACATGAAAGAGAACTGAAGGCATTGGCATTTTCCAGATTGCTTTCGCGGTTTGCTGCCTTCTGCAGGATGGGTATGCCCCGTCCCGGCTGTGTCACTGCAGTTGATTCACCGCCCTGTACCTGTTCATGTGCAAGAAAATGGCTGGAAGCGGGGCCGGGCGCGGTGGCTCACGCCTGTAATCCCAGCACTTTGGGAGGCCGAGGCAGGTGGATCACGAGGTCAAGAAATCAAGACCATCCTGTCAACAAGGGGAAACCCCGTCTCTACTAAAAATACAAAAATTAGCTGGGCATGGTGGCGCGTGCCTGTAATCTCAGCTACTCGGGAGGCTGAGGCAGGAGAATTGCTTGAACCCAGGAGGCGGAGGTTTCGGTGAGCCGAGATCGTGCCATTGCACTCCAGTCTGGGTAACAACAGCGAAACCCCGTCTCAAAAAAAAAAAAAAAAAGAAAAGAAAATGGCTGGAAGGAAACTGCTGCCGGGGTGCTCATGGGACTCGAAGGAAACGGAAGACTACGGACAGCGGAGAGAAAGTTACTTTTTCCCGCCGGGCCGCGCGTTTAACCCGTTTGTCTAAGTAAAGAAGGATGAAGCGGCCGGGCGCGGTGGCTCACGCCTGTAATCCTAGCACTTTCGGGGCCGAGGCGGGCAGATCACGAAGTCAAGAGATCCAGATCATCCTGGCTAACACGGTGAAACCCCGTCTCTACTAACAACACAAAAAATTAGCCGGGCGCGGTGGCGGGCGCCTGTGGCCCCAGCTACTCAGGAGGCTGAAACGAGAATCGCTTGAATCCGGAAGGCGGAGGTTGCAGTGAGCCGAGATCGCGCCACCGCACGCCAGCCAGCCCGGGCGACCGAGCGAGACACACACACACACACACACACACACACACACACACGAAACGAAAAGAAGGATGGGGGTGCGGAGGGGGGTGGGGGGGAAGAAAGACATGTCCCCTGCGCTCCCCTTCACGCAGCCAGTGTGGCTTGGAGGTAGCTTCGAAGTTTACACACTTGAGCTCGCTCTGCCGATTCCGAAACCTCCCCAGACATCTTGAGGCGTTGGGAGGAGGGAGCCGCGCTACGCAGCGGAGGACAGGGTGGAGTCCCCCGGCCCAGACTCCTGTGGGGAGGCGGTTAGGGCTCTCTGCTCCCTCCAGGCTTCTTCCGACTTCTACGACGGGTTCCTGCTGCACGGACACGTCCGGCCACAGGCGACCCAGGCCAGGCACCCCGTCGCGTCCCCCTCTCTCCCTGCCTCCTCCCTGTGCCAGGCGCGCTTTTCCCCAGCAGGGACCGCGGTGGGGACTCACCCACAGCAAGACCCCGACGACGACGACGGAGAAGAAAATCTGGGGGACTCGGAGCCGGGGCCTCGCTCCTCGCGCCCGCCTGGGTCCTGGGGCGCGCCCTGCCCGGGCCCTCGAGGGAGCCTGGGCGCAGGGTCCCGGCTGTCTCATGGGGTAGGCAGCGCTCCTCGGCCCCCGCCCCGCTGTTCAATCCTCGATGCGGAGGAGCCCCTAGCTGTGCTGGGTGTGGCCGCGGCTGCCTCTGAACCTCTCGCTGAGCTCCCTAGATTCGGAGTCGCTGCCAGGAAAGCGCCCAGCTTTACTCCAGCTGGCGATTGCGTCAAACAGCGTCAATCCAAGAAGCACTGCGCTCTGGTAAGACCAAAGTTGGCATTCTCTGGGTCAAGGCACCTGATCCCTCCCCCTTCTCGGGGCACCTGAGACTCCTGTTGGTGAACCCTGAACTTCCTTCCTCTTTGCCCGCCCCCGCTGCTGTCCCTCGACCACACCCGCCGCCTGGATGCCGCTGCATTCGGAGTCGCTTTGCCATTTAGTCCCAGCGCGAGGCTTTCCTATCTTCCTATTATTCTTAAACCCTAAAAGTATTATGGGATTTGCATGCTGTAGCTATAGTTTAACCAAAACATTAGATTGTGGATCTAGTAATAGACGCCTGCAACTTCTTATCTACCGAGAAAGTGTGCAAGAACTGCTAACTCACGCCCCATGCCTAACAAGGTGGCTTTCTCAACTTTTAAAGGATTAGAGTCATCCGTGGGTCTTAGGACTCCAAATAAAAGTAATAAACATGTATTTTTCCAGTGCTATAATTGCCCTAATCCCCTTAATCTAACCGATTATTACTACCTTAACCAGCCCCTGCAAAAAAGGTTCATACCCAAATTACGTAAAAATATCTATCGCATGCGCCTTCGTCATTAGCCTCCTCCCTACAGCAATATTTATATGCACATGCCAAGAAGTCATTATCTCAAACTGACACGGAACGACAATCCAAACTCTTAAACTCTCACTAAGCTTCAGAGTAGACTACTTCTCCACAATATTCATCCCAGTAGCACTATTTGTTACCTGATCTATTGTCGAATGCTTAATATGATATATAAACTCAGACCCCTAATATCAATCAATTTTTCAAATACTTATTTTCCTCATCATATTAATTCTGGTTACTGCCAACAACAGCCTTCAACTTTTTATCGAACGAGAAGGCGTAGGAATCGTGTCTTTCTAATTGGCTGATGGTAACCCCGAGCAGAGGCTAATCCTCCAAGCAGTGGCGATATTGGCTTTATTTTAGCCAGAGCTTAATCTCTCATCCTCCATGAGAGCTTCGACAAGCATTTATTCTTTTATTTATTTATTTATTTATTTTTTGAGACGGAGTTTCGCTCTTGTTGCCCAGGTTGGGGTGCAATGTCGCAGTCTCGGCTCCCCACTCCCGGGTCCAAGCGATTCTCCTGCCTCAGCCTTATGAGTAGCGGGGATTGCAGGCGCCCACCACCCCGTCCGCCTAATTTTTTGTATTTTTAGTAGAGACGGGTTTCTCCATTTGGGCCAGGCTGGTCTCCAACTCCCGATCTCAGGTAATCCGCCCTCCTAGGCCTCTCAAAGTGCTGGGATTAAGGGCGTGAGCGACCGCGCCCGGCCACAAGCATTTATTCGAAACCCACTCCCGACTCCCTTCCATTAATTAGCCTTCTCTCAGCAGGAGTCGACCTCAGCTTCTGGGTAGCCGGGTTCCTGTCGTTCAGCAGGCGCTTGGTGGGCGGATGGTGGCGAAATGAAGGCTACAGAGGCCGCCACCGCGGGATGTGGACTCCGGGCCGCTGAAGGCTTCTACGGCCTCCTCCATCGATACCCTCCGTCGACGAGGGACCCATCCTGCTGGTAGTCTCAGGTTTCGATGCCAGTGAAATGTCACCTCAGCTCCACTGTCCCCGGTGTCAGGCAAGCCCTAGGTACCCAATTCCGCCTTTCTTCTGGATCTTCCTAACCTGTTAAGAGTCTTGAAAGCCCTTAAACCAGGGGAGACTACCTGGCGCGTGACAGGGAATGCGTCCTGGCTGGGGTCCAATGTGGGGTAGGTCCTGCCAGCAGTTCCTCTGCACCTAGCGCTGCGCGGGCCCCGGCGCGGGAAATCGGCCTCCCGAAAGGAAAACGAGTCACAGTCCTGCCCGCGCAGGGCTCCCAGGGCGACCACGGGGCTGAGTGGGTAAGAGAAACGGGGCTCTGGCTGATGTGCATTTTTCTCCATGTTTTCACAGGTGTTCGGACACCATTTGTTGAAAAGATTTTCTGTCCTTATCCATAGCCTTATCACTTTTGTTGAAATTAAATTGATCATATGTGTGTGTGTGTGTGTGTGTGTGTGTGTGTGTGTGTGTTCATTTCTGGACTCCATTCTACTCCATTTATCTTTATTTGGCTAATGTCATGCTAACTACTACATTGTCCTAATTATGAGCTGTATAGTCAATCTTGAAATCAGGGATTTCAAGTCCTCCCCCTGCCTGCCCCCTAAAAATGGTTTGCATTTCCACATATATTTTATATAGAATCCTTTTTTTCAAGTAAAAAAGCCTGCTGGGACTTTAGTTGGGATTGCATTGAATGTAGAGATCAATGGGAATAATAGACATTTGAACGATTTTGAGTCTTCCAATCTATGAAATTGATTTATTTATTTAGATATTCATTACTTAAGCTTGACAATATTTCGCAAACTTTTCAGATACAGGTTTTGCATATCTTTTGTAAATATATTTCTAAATATTTTTGTTACTATTGCTAGTGTAATTTGCTTCTTTTATTTTCAAATTATTTGTTGCAACTATACAGAAATACAATTGATTTTTGTACATTGGCCTTGTATCCTATGGTACTGTTAAAAAGATGTAATGTTTCTAGTTGTTATTTTATAATTATTTAGGATTTTCTATGTAACCAATCCTATTGACTGTAACTAAAAACTGTCTCAGTTCTTCCTTTCCAATCTTATTTATTTATTCATTTATTTTTTTTCAGATGGAGTTTCACTCTTTTTGCCCAGTCTGAAGTGCAATGGCATGATCTCGGCTCACCACAACCTCCGCCTCCTGGATTCAAGTGATTCTCCTACCTCAGCCTCCCAAGTAGCTGGGATTACAGGCATATGCCACCACACCTGGCTAATTTTGTATTTTTAGTAGAGATGGGTTTTCTTCATGTTGGTCAGGCTGGTCCCAAACTCCCAGCCTCAGATGATCCTCCCACCTTGGCCTCCCAAAGTGCTGGGATTATAGGTGTGAGCCACTGCTCCCGGCCTCTAATCTTTATACTTTTTATTCATCTTTCCTGCTGAATTGCTCTGGATAGGATTTCCAGTACAATGTTAAATAGAAATAGTTAAAGCAGGCATGCTTATCTTATTCCATATCTTAGAGAGAACACATCTAATTAATCACCATTAGATACAATATTATAGCTTCCTCATAGATCCCTGCTATGATTTTAATGTCTCCTCCAAAACTCATGGTGAACGAGACTCACCTCCAAAAAAAAACAACAACCAAAAGACTCCACCTCCCAACATGCTTACACTTGCAAGTGGCTCACACCTGTAATCTGTAATCCCAGGGCTTTGTTTGGGAGGCCAAAGTGGGTAGATCAGGAAGTCAGGAGTTCGAGACCAGCCTGGCCAATATGGCAAAACTCTGTCTATACTAAAAATACAAAAATTAGGCGGGCATGGTGGCGCACTCCTGTAATCCCAGCTACTCAGGAGGCTGAGGCAGGGGAATTGCTTGAACCCAGGAGTCAGAGGTTGCAGTGAGCTGAGAATGCCTCAGGGCATTGCAGCCTGGGCATTGCAGCGAGACAAGTCTCCTTCTGTTGCCCGGGCAGGACTGGAGTGGCAGGGTGATCTCAGCTCACTGCAACCTCCACCTCCCAGGGTTCAAGCAATTCTCCCACCTCAGCCTCCCAAGTAGCTGGGACTTCAGGCATGCACCCTCATACTTGGCTACTTTTTGTATTTTTAATAGAGATGGGGTTTCACCATGTTGGTCAGGCTGGTCTCAAACTCCTGACCTCATGATCGGCCCGCCTCGGCCTCCCAAAGTGCTGGGATTACAGGCATGAGCCACAGAGCCCAGCCTGATATATTATCATTTTTACATATTGCTAGGTTTGACTTGCTAGTACTTTCTTAAGCATATTTTTGTGTCTGTATTCATGAGAGGTACTGATTTATCATTGTCTTTTTCTGTAATATCTAAGTTTGGGTGTAATTATTATTCTGGCTTTATAAAATAAACTCAGTTTTCCTGAGAGTCATACAAGATTGGCATTACTTCTTTCTTCAGTGTTTGCTGCATTCATCAGTAACATGATCCGGACTTGGAGATAATTTTTGTTTTTCTTTTGGAGTATGTGTGTGTCTGAAGGTTTTTGATAATAACTTCAAATCCTAAAATAGATAAAGGTTTTTCAGATTTTCTAATATTTTATGTGTCTCTTCTGGCAAGTAAAAATTTTCAAGGAATTTGTCTCTGAGTTCTTAAATAGATTGGCATTAAGTTGCTCACAATATTCCCTTGTTATCCTTAGCAATCATATCCTCTCTTTTATTTGACTTTGGGGATTTATGTTCTGTCTCTGATGAGTTTCATTGATTATTTATAAATGTTATTATTCTTTTTGAATAGCTATGCTATGTTAATTTTGTTTATACTTTCAGGGTTTTTCTGTTTTCTATAGATTTCCTCACCTTATTATTGCCTTTATTACACTTATTCTGGGTTTATATTGCTCTTCTTTCTTTAGCTTTTAAATGGAAACCCAGATCACTGATTTCTATCCTTTTTTCTTTACAATATAAACACTCATACTCTCTATGTCCTGCTGTAGTTACTTCCTACAAATTTTGATATTTTGCATCATCATTTAGTTTGAAATACTTTCTGATTTCCACAAGCTTTCTTCCCTGACCCATGGTTGTTTAAATTGCAAATATCAAAGTATTTTCTATATATCTTATTGTCATTGATTTCTAGTTCAATTTTACTGCAACTAAAGAACGTATTCTATACAATTTCAATCCTTTTAAATTTGTTAAGACTTTTCGTAGGCCCAGAATTGGGTGTACCTTAGTGAACACACTATGTGCACTCAAAATGAATGAACATTCTACAGTTGTTGGGTATAGTATCCTATAAATGTTTTTTAGGTCAAGGTGCTTGACAATTTTTTTTGGATTATCTATGACTTCACTGATTTTTGTCTGTTTCTGAGACAAAGTCTTACTCTGTTGCCCAGGCCAGAATGCAGAGGCACCCACCTGAGCTCACTGCAACCTCAGCCTACCAGCTTCAAGCAATTCTCCTGCCTCAGCCTCCCACACAGCTGGGATTAGAGCCACCTGCCCCCATGCCTGGCTAATATTTGTATTTTTGGCACAGATGGGGTTTTACCATGTTGGCCAGGCTGGTCTTGACTCCTGACCTCAAGTGATCCACCAGCCTTGGCCTCCCAAAGTGCTGGGATTAGAGGCATGAGCCAACGTGCTGGCCTCCATCTTTTACTTTCAATCTATCCAAAGCTTTATATGTAAAGTGCATATATTTTAGGCAGTTAATACTTTCAGCTGGCTTTTTCTCCCCCCCCCCCCCCCCCCCCCCCCCCCCCCCCCCCCCCCGCTTTGGAGAAATTCTGCCTTTTAGTTGGATTGTTTATTCTGGTTACATTTGTTGTGGTGAAATTTGGAAAGTTCAATCTGCCACAATTTCTGCATTTCTTTGTTTTTAATGCATTTTTCAATGTGTGTGAATAATGAGTCAACAGGTTTTTTTCACTACTCAACAGATCCTGGGCCTCGGTTGTTTTTAGTCAGCTGTCATTCATATCTGTGTTCCCTGTGAATGCATAAAATCAGCTCTGCATGATCGACTATGATGTGTCCGCATAGGGCTTTCTTTACATTTATTTTCTGAGGGGTTTATGAACTTTTTGAATCTGTAAGTTGGTATTTTTTCACGACTTTTGAGAATATATCAACCATTTCTTCTTGGTCCCTGGTTCCATGTGTAGTGCGTGATATTGTACCATAGGTCACTGACTCACTTCCTTGTTTTAGCTCAGTTTCATTTTCCTTTTTGCTCTAGCTTGAATGATTTATGTTGATCTCTTTTCAAGTTCACCCATTCTTTCTTCTGCAATGTTCAATCTCACTTCAAAAAGCCCAAATAATTTTTTTATTTCAGAGAGTGCAGTTTTCAGCTCTAAAATTTCCATTTGGTTCTTTTTTTTACAGTTACCGTGGGTATGCTGAAATAGCTTATCTTCCACTCAGGTCAACAATCTTTTCTGTAGACCCAACGTATATTTTATAGTTTCCTAAAAGAGATTCTATTATGAATCAGCATTAAAAACCACTGTGAAGACAGAAAGTCTACCTAGAAGGATTTCATGGTTTTGGTTTTGCCTTTTGAGATAGGGTCTCACTCTGCTATCCAGGCTGGCATGCAGTGGTGCAATCATGCCTCACTGAAACCTCGACCTCCTGTGCTCAAGAGATTCTTCCACCAGCCTGCTGAGCGCCTGGTACTACAGTCATGGGCCACCAAGCCCAGCTCATTTTTGTACTTTTTCTAGGGACAAGGTTTTGCTGTGTCGCCCAGGCTGGTCTTGAGTTCTTGAGCTCAAGTGATCTGCCTGCCTCAGCCTTCAAAATGACTAGGATTACAGACTTGAACCATTGTGCCTGGCCAGGAGTGACTTATCTAATGAGGAGTAACAATGACAGAAAATGTTTGTTAGCTCCTGCTTACTATAATTTTACAAGTATTTATTGAAAATTGATTATGTACCAGGCAAAATGTATGCAAAGATTAAAATATGCAGTACCTGCTCTAAGGGACATGCACACTAGTAGGGAGACAGTAAAACAATTGTAATAACATGTGATTTGGCAGGGCCTATTAAAATGATTCTATACCCAAGAACCTGTATTTTTACTTTGGAGGGTAAAATGCTTACGATGATTAGGAGATAGAAGGTAGGAGAGAAGAAGAAAGTGGAAGAAAATGAACTGGGGAATGTCTCAGACCTTATTTACAAAGAAATCTTCAGGAAGACAAAAAACAGGGGTGGGGGAAGACAGCAGAGGAAGTTTTAGCCTATGACACCAAAAGCTACAGCACACAGTAAACCCTCCCTAACTCCTAGTCAGATAAACATAAAATCTCCCACTAAAGTCCTATTTCACTCAGTTCCTTTTATCCAATCCATCATATCCATAATACAGGAAATAAACATGGACGGAATCGAAGGAAGAGATTTACACTGCTATAGTAATAGTTGGGGACTTCAATTCTCCCACTTTCAAAGACGGACAAAACAATCAGAATGAAGATCAGTAAGAGCATAGATTACTTGAACATCACTACATACTAACAGAAACTAAAAGACACACAAAACAGTTCACCACAAACAGAAGCATAAATTTTTTCTCAAAGATGCATAAAATATTCTCCAGGATAAACCAAAAGTTAGGCCATACAGTAATTCATTTCCTTTTTAATAATAGACCTACCCCTCACTGCCATCATATAGTAATTCTTTACAAATTTAAAATAACTGAAATTATATAAAGTATCTCTTCTGATCACAATATGACACTAGAAATCAATATCAGAAGGTAAAGAGTAAACTCCACAAACACGTAGGAATCAAACAAGCTTTTAAATCAATAAGTCAAAAAGGAACTCATATATGAAATTAGAAAAGATCTGGAGATCTTTTCTAATTAAATAATTAAAATTTCTGCCAGCCATAGTGGTTCACACCTGCAATCCAAGCACTTTGGAGGCCAAGGCGGACGGATCACCTGAGGTCGGGATCTAGCCTGACCAACATGGTGAAACCCCATCTTTAAAAAATAATAATAAATAAAATAAAATAAGATTTCTAATTAAATTTAATTAGGAAAACATGATCCAACAGTGAAGCAGAAAACACAACATACGGAAACTTATGAGATGCAGTGAAAGCAGGGCTATGAGGAAATGTTATGGTAAACGCTTATATCAGGAAGGAAGAAAGGCCTAAAAGAAACAATCTAACTTTATACATTAAGAAACTAGGAAAGGAAGAATAAACTAAATCCAAGGCTAGTAGAATGAAGGAAATAAAAAAATAGAGTAGAGATTATTTTAGGAATAGAAAAGCTGTAAAGAAAATCAATAAACCCAGAAGCTGATTCTTTGAAAAGATTAACAAAATGGAGAAATCTTTGGCTAAATTTATTTAAAACAAGAAAACTCAAATTACTGAAATCAGAAATGAAAGTGGGACATTATTACTGATTCTATAGCAATAAAATTAGGATTAGAAGAGAGTGCTGTGAAAAAATGTATGCCAAAACCAGAATGATCTAACTAAAATGAACACATTCCTAGAAACACACAGCCTACCAAGACTGATTTATATACAATGAAATAGAAAACTGGGACAGGCATAACTGCAAGGAGATTGAATCAATAATCAAAAACTTCCCTGGACCAGATTTGCATTCTGCCAAATATTTAAAGAAAAGTCAACACCAGGTTTTCTCAAATGCTTCCAAACGTGAAAAGAAGAAACCCTTCCTGATTGTATGAGGCCAGTATTGTCCTGACACCAATGTCGGGCAAAGATACTACAAGAAAGAAAACTACAGACCAATATCCTTTATAAATTTTGTTGCGAAAATCTTCAACAAAATAATAACAAACTGAATCTAACATTTATCGAGTTTTATGTATTATTTACTTTTAAGACAGTCTTGCTCTGTCATCCAGGCTGGAGTGCAGTGGTGTGATCATAGCTCACTGCAGCCTCGAACTCCTGGGCTCAAATTATCCTCTTACCTCAGCCTCCCAAGTCACTGGAACTATGGCTGCATGTCACCATGCCCAGCTAATTTCTTGTTTTGTGTTGTTTTGTTTTAGAAATGGGGTCTTGCTACGTTGCCCAGGCTGGTCTCAAACTCTTGGCTCAAGTAATCCTCCTGCCTTGGCCTCCCAAAATGTTGGGATTACAGGTGTGAGCCACCATGCCCAGCATTGTTTGTTTCTGTCTTTGTTCTGTTTCAGTCTTTCTCCCATTGGGTTTGACCAACTCTATCCAACTCGATCAAATCCAAAGGAAAGTTCCAAAGTATGAGGAAAAAGTCCTCTAAAATGGCTAAATTCCCATACACAAAAAAAGGTGGTATAGTGGGGGGAGAAAAATGGCCAAGAAAAGAAAAAAATAGGAATTTTTTTTTTTTTTTGAGACGGATTTTCACTATTGTTACCCAGGCTGGAGTGCAATGGCATGATCTCGGCTCACCGCAACCTCCGCTTCTTGGGTTCAGGCAATTCTCCTGCCTCAGCCTCCTGAGTAGCTGGGAATACAGGCACGCGCCACCATGCCCGGCTAATATTTTGTATTTTTAGTAGAGACGGGGTTTCACGGTGTTGACCAGGATGGTCTCGATCTCTTGACCTCGTGATTCATCCGCTTCGGCCTCCCAAAGTGCTGGGATTACAGGCGTGAGCCACCGCACCAGCCGGAATATTTTTTTTTTTTTTTTTTTACTACTTAAGGGTTTTATTTACATAACAAGGGGAACTTTTTGCTAGCCAGGCCAAACTGAAAGCAATGGCTGACCCCTGTACTCTGCAGTTCAATAACTAAGGTTCTGCCTTTTTCCCCCCATTAAGACAGCCTTAGGTTTGGTTCCTAAATCAAGTCCTTTCTGGTTTGATACTTGGTACTTCAGAAAAAGCAGCAATTTGTCCTAGCTAAAATATAATAATAACATTTTGAAAGATTTTTCACTTTTAAAGGCACCCAAAGGTTCAAAGTCAGCTTAATTAAAAGCTAACATTTAAAATGTATGTGTATGTGTGCAAGACTGTGTGTTTGTATTTAAAAGGCCTTCACGTTTTTGTTTTTGTTTTTCTCTGCTAGGACCTTGTTTTGTTTTGTTTTTTGAGCAAAAGTTTTTTCCTGTGGCGTTGGTGGTATGATGGTTAGTGTAGCTGCCTTCCAAAGTCTTTTCCTTCTCAATTGACTGAAATCCGTTTTCACCTGATTTTTCTTTTTTTACTAAAATCGTTATTACTCTTGGGTTTTTAAGAAAGAGTATAGTTTGGACTCTTAGAAATGCTTTGTTTTAAAAAAAATTAAGTGCACTGTAAAAGCATCACATGGTCTAGCCTCATAATAATTCTCCCTTTCTGGAGACCCAGGAGCTCAAAGATCCAGTTAAATAAAAATAGGCAGTGCCGGGCGCAGTTGCTCATGCCTGTAAACCCAGCACTTTGGGAGGCCGAGGTGGGTGGATCACAAGCTCAAGAGATCGAGACCATCCTGGTCAACACGGTGAAACCCCGTCTCTACTAAAAACACAAAAACTAGCTGGGCATAGTGGCGCGTGCCTGTAGTTCCAGCTACTCAGGAGGCTGAGGCAGGAGAATCACTTGAACTCAGGAGGTGGAGGTTGTGGCGAGCCAAGATTGTGCTATCACACTCCAGCCTGGGCAACAAGAGTGAAACTGTCTCAAAAAAAAAAAAAGAAAAGAAAAGAAAAGAAAAAAAGTCCCTATCTAAATAAAATTCTTCTATACAATCCAATGATAAATTTCTAAAATTTTATGTTCAATTGGCAATTAAATCTGTTTTTATTTCCCTCTAGCTCACCAGACTTTCTCTTCTTACCTTATAATGTAAATTTCGCTATCTGACTTTCACCTGAGTTGTTTCCTTTAATATGCAAATTTAAGACTACTTAGATGACAAGTGCCTAGGGTTCTGAAACAGGTTATCAGGAATCTGAAAGTCTAATATAAAGAAAAAAAGGCTTCGGGAGGCCGAGGCGGGTGGATCACGAGGTCAAGAGATTGAGACCATCCTGGTCAACAACTTGAAACTCTGTCTCTACTAAAAATACAAAAAATTAGCTGGAACTAAGGGAGGCCAGAGCAAGACCCATTCATTTCACTGAAACTGAAAATTTCAGGTGGCTGCTTGTTAGTAGTGAAGTCCCATCATCTCTCAAGCTTCCCCACTTTTTTTTTGGTGGTGCACGCCTGTAATCCCAGCTACTTGGGAGGCTGAGGCAGGAGAATTACCTGAACCCAGGAGGCGGAGGTTGCGGTGAGCCGAGATCGCACCATTGCACTCCAGCCTGGGTAACAAGAGTGAAACTCCGTCTCAAAAGAATAAAAAAAAGGGTTTTGTGAATTTATAAGATGTACTTCTCTCAGCATGCCTAATACATCTATGTATTTATGTGTTGTGTACACAATGTTGCACTACTGAAAATATATAAGAGCTCTAATTGGCTTAAAAATGAAAGCAATTAAATCAAATACTTTATCAGAAAAAGGAAAAACTAGTCAAATGTTTTTTCAAGTTATGTGACTTAAGTAAAATCTTTAATAAATAAGCTAGCTTTAAAATTATTGGTAATTAGAAATGTCTTAAGAATTGCCAGTATACATTTTTGTTTGCATTTATTAATCAAGCAATTTCATACTTAACCCTACCAAATACTATAAGGTATCAAAAGAGTGAGACTCCATCTCAAAAGAGAGGGGGGTGGGGAGGGAGAGAGAGAACGAAAGAGAGAGAAAGGGAAAGGAAACAGAGAAAAAAGAAAGAGAAAGAGAAAAGGAAGGAAGGTAGGGAGGAGGAAAGGGAAGGGAAGAAGGAAAGAAAAGGAAAAGAAGAGAAAGGAAAGCACTGACTGTGGTTGAAGGGTGCAGAAGGTGAAGAACTCAGGGAGGCCAGAGCAAGACCCATTCATTTCACTGAAACTGAAAATTTCAGGTGGCTGCTTATTAGTAGTGAAGTACCATCAGCTCTCAAGCTTCCCCACTTTTTATTTTTTTTTTTTTTGAGAAGGAGTTTCGCTCTTGTTACCCAGGCTGGAGTGCAATGGCGCGATCTTGGCTCACCGCAACCTCTGCCTCCTGGGTTCAGGCAATTCTCCTGCCTCAGCCTCCTGAGTAGTTGGGATTACAGGCACACGCCATTATGCCCAGCTAATTTTTTGTATTTTTAGTAGAGACGGTGTTTCACCATGTTGACCAGGATGGTCTCGATCTCTTGACCTCGTGATCCACCCGCCTCAGCCTCCCCAAGTGCTGGGATTACAGGCTTGAACCACTGTGCCCGACCACTACCAGTTCCTTTCTGACCCAGCCAGATGTAAGAGGCCTCTAACTGGATCCAAGCCAGTTAATTCCCAAATCAAATCCATTCCTGGGCCCGGTTCAGTTTCTGTCACAAATCCAAACCCAGTTTGGATCAGAAATGTGCTCAAAGAAACTCAGAGAGCTCAAAACACAAATCTGTGGAGCTCCAAAATCCAAGAGGGAGCTTACCCACCATCCCCAGCTGCTCTGAGAGATTGATGGACACAGGGGGGTCCTTCAGGTACCTTGTGTGTTCACTCAGTGCTCCTTTGGGTTGCTCGAAGCTCCACTTCGGATTCCACTTCTGATACCACCTGGTAAAAGAAAAGCTTCTGCCAAATTAAATGTAAAGGAGTTTAATTGAGCAATGAATGATTCATGAATCAGGCAGTCCCCAGAATCATAGCAGATTCACAGAGACTCTAGTGGTGCCTCAAAGTCAGAACAAATTTACAGACTAAAAAGGTAAAGTGACATACAGGAATTGGAAATGGGGTACAGAAAAAGTGAGACTGGCTACAGCTTGGTGTTTGCCGTATTTGAATGCAGTTTGAACATTCAGCAGTCTAGAAGTGGTTGAAGTACGGCCGCTGGGATTGGCCAAGACTCAGCTACTGTTACAGGTGCGTACTGTTAAGTTTTCAATTTTGTCTGACTACTAAGCTAGATTACAGTTCATCCACAAGGATTCAAACGTAGAAGTAGGAAGCCCTTCTCAGGCCACATTTATTTTGCGTTAACACCAGTTATCCAGGAGTACTGATTGGTCAGCTAAGAGAGAAAATGATAGAAAATTGAAGCTGTCCTCTTGTGCTGAGTTAGTTCCTGGGTGCAGGTTGGGTGGGGCACAAATCAGATAAGCCAGTTTACTGATTTGCATGATGCCAGCTGATCCATCAAGTACAGGGTCTGCAAAATATCTTAAGCACTGATCTTAGGAGCAGTTTAGGGAGGGTCACAATCTTGTAGCCTCCAGCTGCATGACTCCTAAACCATAACTTCTAATCTTGTGGCTAAATTGTTAGTCCTACCAAGGCAGTCTAGTCCTCAGGCAAGGAGGTTTGTTTTGGGAAAGGGCTGTTACTGTCTTTGTTTTAAACTATAAGCTAAGTTCCCCCAAAGTTAGTTCAGTCTATACCCAGAAATGAACAAGGACAGCTTAAAGGTTAGAACAAAATGGAGTTGGTTAGATCTCTTTCACTGTCTCAGTCCTAATTTTGCAAAGGTGATTTCAGCAGCAAGAAGAAGTGCACAATGAAGAGGGAGAAGCCCCTTATGAAACCATCAGATCTTATGAGAACTCATTTACTATCAGGAGAACGGCAAGAGGGTTCTACCATAATTAAATTACCTCCCACCAGGTACCTCCCACAACACGTGGGGATTATGGGAACTACAATTCAAGATGAGATCTGGATGGGGACACAGCCAAGCCACATCATTAATTATGAGGGATTTGTTCCCAGGATTCAGTCACCTCCCACCAGGCCCCATCTCCAACACTGGGAATCACATTTCAACATGAGATTGTTTGGACGGGACAAACATCCAAGCCATATCACCATTCAATGGGAAGAGGACAGTCTTTTTCAACAAATGGTGCTGGAAATACAGAATATCCACGTGCAGAAGAATGAAGTTGTACTGAGACCAGCTCGGCCGTAGACGCCCCCACCCAGGCGGCACCGAAGGCATTAAGAAGCAGACACCCAGAGAGAACAGCAAAGTGGCACTGTCCGGTGGGCCAACAGCCTTCCGAGCTGAGAGCCTCGGGGGACTGACAGCATTCCAAGCTGAGGGCCCCAAGCAGACTCTGACATACTCATTTAATTCTCTCTGAACAGGTGATTGTTATTAACAAACAGGTGTTCTGTGTTTTCTCATAGACCCAAGATACACTAGGTAGGCAGCTGGTGCCTGCTTACCACTGATCAAAGACAAACCAGAAAGTATTCTCCACGAGGGAGCCACGGGGGCAAGGTCACATATCCTGTCCTTAAAGAATTGTTTTCACCGGTGTATGATGTACATATACTGTCTTGCTACTTTAGAATGCCCCAAGCAGTTTTCCAGTTGATGGGGGGCAGCTAGGTTTTCCTTGTCATTGTTTTTCTTAGCAAGCAATATAATTTTATCATACACTCAGCATCTCTCAACAAAGTTGAACCTTTACCTTATATCGTACACAAAAATTAACTCAAAATGGATCAAAGATCTAAATGTAAGAACAAAACTATAAAACTTTCATAAGAAAACACAGGCAAAAACTTTATGATATTTGATTTGACAATGATTTCTTTATTATGACAGTGAGAACATAGAAAACGAAAGAAAAACAGATAAATTGGATTTCATCATAATTAAAACTTTTGGGCAACAAAGAACACGCTCAATAGAATAAATATGCAATCCACAGAATGGGAAAAATATTTGCAAATCATGTGTCTGGTAAGGGCTTATTATTTGGAGTGTAAAGAACTATAACTCAACAATAAAATATCTAATTTAGAAATGAGTAAAGGAGTTGAATAGACATTACTTCAAAGAAGGTATGCAAGTGGCTAACAGCGAGAAGAAAAAATGCTCAACATAACATTATTAGCGAAATGCAAATAAAAACCACAAAAATCTATTGTGGATAGATTCACATCTATCAGGATTAATGTTATAAAAACCAACCAGAAAATAACAAGTGTTGGCAAGAACGTGGAGGAATTAGAGACCCTTGTGTTACTGATGGGAATGTAAAATGACATGGCCACTATAGAAAATGATATGGCAGTTCCTTTAAAAAATTAAGCATAAATCTATTATATGATTTAGCAGTTCCATTTCTGGATGTTTATGCAAAAGAACTGAAATAGACGTTAGTACACCCAAGTGCATTGCAGCATTCACAATAGCAAAAATGTGGAACTATCCCAAGTGTGCATGAACAGGTGAATAGATGAACAAAATGTGAAATATATATATATACATGTATAGTAGAATGCTATTCAGCCTTCAAAAGGAAGGAGATTCTGACACACGCCACAAGATGGAAGAACCTTGAAAACATTATGCTAAGTGAAGTAAGTGAGTCAGAAAATAACAAATAGTGCAGAATTTCATGTACATGAAGTATCTAGAGTAGTCAAATTCAGGGACAGAAAGTAGAACACGGGGTACCAAGCCCCGCAGGAAGAGGGAGAATGGGAGTTACTGTTTAATGAACGCAGAGCTTCAGTATGAGAAGGTGAAAAAAGTTTTGAAGATGAGTGATAGTGATATTTGCACAACAGTATGAATCTAATTAATCTCACTGAATTACACATGTAAAAATTGTTTAAACTGTAAATTTTACTTACGTATATTTTGCCACAACTTCTGTAAAGAAGACGAGGTCATTTTGGGATAGGGTGGGTTCCTAATCCAGTGTGACCACTGCCGTTATAAGAAGTAGTCCTTATGAAGACGCAGACACACGTGGAGAACATCAAGTGAAAACGAAGGCAGAGATGGAGGTTATGCTGTTGAATTCCTGGGGCTACAAAACCTGGAAGAAGCCAGGAAGGATTGTCCCCTCAAGGCTTCTGAGAGAGCATGACCCTACCAACACCTTCATTTTGGACTTTCAGCTCCCAGAACTCTGAGAGAATAAATATCTGTTATTTATTTATTTATTCAGATGGAGTCTTGCTCTATCACCAGGCTGGAGTGCAGTGATGCCATCTCGGCTTACTGAAACCTCCACCTCCTAGGTTCAAGTGATTCCCCTGCCTCAGCCTCCTGAGTAGCTGGGATTACAGGCACGCACCATCATGCCCAGCTAATTTTTTGTATTTTTAGTAGAGACAGGGTTTCACCATGTTGACCAGGATGGTCTCGATCTCTTGACCTCGTGATCTACCCGCTTCGGCCTCCCAAAGTGCTGGGATTACAGGCGTGAGCCACCGCCCCCGGCAATTTTTAAAATTGGAGACAGGGTTTCACCATCTTGGCCAAGCTGGACTTGAACTCCTGACCTAGTGATCTGCCCGCCTCAGCCTCCCAAAGTGTTGGGATTACAGGTATGAGCCACTGTGCCCAGCCAAATATCTGTTATGTTAAAACCATCAAAAAAGTACTTTACACAAGAGTCAATGGAATTGCATATGAAAATGTGAAGCCTCTTATGCCAGCAGTGTTAAAGACTGAGTGTTGATGTCACCCACTAATTCATACGTTGAAACCCCAACTCCCAGAGTGATGGTATTAGGAGTGGGCTTTTGGGAAGTAGTTAGGTTCAGAGGAAGTTGTGAGGGTGGAGCCTCCATAATGGGAGTTAGTGCCCTTAAAGAAGAGTAAGAGACGTGAAAGCTCCCTCTCACATGCACATGCACTGAAGAAAGCCCACGTGACCACAGAGCCAGAAGGTGGCTGTCCACAGCCAGGAACCACATTTGATGGCACTTTCCTCCTGTACCTCTCAGCCTTTAGAACTGTGAGAAATAAATGTCTGTTGTTTAAGCCACCTAGTCCATGGTATTTTTCTGTAGCAGCTCCGGTAAACTAATGTAAGCAGCATTCACTTTAGAAATAGACATAGTGGGCTTGGTGTGGTGGCTCATGCTTGTAATCCCAGCACTTTGGGAGGCTGCGGTGGGAGGATTGCTTGAGCCCAGGAGTTCAAGACCAGCCTGGGCAATGTGGTGAAACCCCATCTCTACCAAAACAAAACAGAACAAGACAAATGGAAAAATTAGCTGGGCATGGTAGCATGTGCCTGTAGTCCCAGTTACTCAGAAGGCTGAGGTGGGAGGATTGCTTAAGTTCAAGACCAGCCTGGGCAACATAGCGAGATCCTGTCCTTACAAAAAAAAAAAAAAATTAGTCATGTGTGTGCTTGTAGTCCTAGCTATTGGGAAGGCTGAGGCAGGAGGATCACTTGAACCTGGGAGTTCGAAGCTGCAGTGAGCCATGATCGTGCCACTGCACTCCAGCCTGGGTGACAGAGCGAGATCATCTCTAAAAATAAAAATGAAAAATAGAAATAAAATAAAATACAATCTCTATGACCTGTAGTGTAGTGTGATGTAGTTGAAAGAAATAAGGGTCTTGAATTCTGTTTCTTGGGCAAGTTACTTAATCTTTCCGAGCCTGCTTCCTTCTCTGTACATTCTTTTAAGATGGGGTTAGATAATATATATTATAAATGTATATTAAATACATATGAACACCCAGCTTTATACAGGCCTACAGTAAATGTACATTAAAGACAACCCTCCCTCTCTTATTTCTAGCTTCTTATAAATGAATTTTTTCGCTTTTTAAGGAATTAATGTGGTCCAACTGGAGAAAACTCATCGGCAATTTCAGATCTGAGGCATAAAAGTCCATGTGTGTGTCTTTGTGCGATGGGTGTCTTTGTTGCTGGGTGATTGTTTTTTGTAATGTGGCATAAGAGTGGCTCCAGGCCTTTTCACAGATATTTACTTTTCCCCTTTCTTTCTTTTTTTTTTTTTTTTGAGACAAGAGTTTCACTCTTATTGCCCAGGCTGGAGTGCAAATGGCATGATCTCAGATCCTGCAACCTCTGCCTCCCGAGTTCAAGCAATTCTCCTGCCTCAGCCTCCTGAGTAGCTGAAATTACAGGTGCCTGCCTCACGCTCAGCTAATTTTATATTTTTAATAGAGACAGGGTTTCTCCATGTTGGTCAGGCTGGTCTCGAACTCCCAACCCCAGATGATCTGCCCACCTTGCCCTCCCAAAATGCTAGGATTACAGGCCTGAGCCACCTTGCCCAGCCTACTTTTCCTCTTTCTTTTCTGCTAGTCCATACTTTGCTTAGAGAAAGTACCTGACTCTTTGTGGCAGTAAAATCGTGTGGTGGTGAATCATACTGAATGTTTCTTAGCCAAGAAAATGACTACCAGAAACTTCTGGTTCCTTTTCCTGAACACTGAATTATCCTAATATTTGATTTCTCCTAGAACAAAGAGGTTTTAGGTTCACAGCAAAACTGAACAGAAAATACAGAATTGTACCATATGCCCCTGCCCCTTGCTTGTATATAGCCTCCTCCATTATCCACATCCCCAATCAGAGCAGCGCATTTGTTTCAATCAATGAACCTACACGGAAACATCATTATCTCCCAAAGCACGTAATTTACATTAGGGTTCACATTTGGTGTGGTGCATTCTGCAGGTTTTGACAATGGTATAATGACATGCATCCACCGTTATAGCATCATACATAGTACTTCCACTGCCCCAGAAAATTCTCTGTGCTCCACCTATTTATCCCCCACTCCCCTTAACCCCTGGTAACTACTGATATTTTTTACAATTTCCATAGTTTGGCCTTTTTCAGAATGTCATATAGTGGGAATCATACAGTATGAAGCTGAAAATTGTCCGAATCAAAATGTAGTAACTTTTCCAACCCTGACAAATAGAACCAGGGAAAGCCATGAAAAGAGGGTTCTCATGCATATATGTCTGATAACAGAATCATCACAAAAATCTCTACAAAAATGACAAACTTGCACAAAGACCACTGCAAACTTACACACATACACAAATACTTCTGGCCAGCAAATCGCTGTCCAACCTTGGACCAACACCACCCTTGTTACTGATCTTTGTATCCAAGGATAATTATCTCAAAACAACTTATGTAATCTTCCTCATTTTTTCTTTAAAAACTCTTGACTTCCTGGCCGGGCTTGGTGGCTTACCCAGCACTTTGGGAGGTCAACGCTGGCGGATCATGAGGTCACGAGATCGAGACCATCCTGGCCATGGTGAAACCCCGTCTCTACTAAAATACAAAAAAAAAAAAAAAATTAGCCGGCATGGTGGCTTGTGCCTATAGTCCCAGCTACTCAGGAGGCTAAGGCAGGGGAATCGCTTGAATCTGGGAGATGGGGTTGCAGTGAGCCAAGATTGCACCACTGCACTCCAGCCTGGTGAAAGAGCAAGACTCCATTTGACAAAAAAATTCTTGTCTTCCTTTACCTCTCTGAATATACCCACACTTATTCTCATTGCAATGCCTATTCCCAAACACCATTTTCTTTTAGAAAGTCTCCCTCTCTGCCTGTTATTTAGATTTGACATAGCCTTCTCAGATTGACTTCTTTTTCTTAGTAATACACATTTATGTTTCTTCCATGTCTCTTAATGGCTTGATTGCTGAATTCTTTTTAGTGCTGAAATAATTCTTCATTATCTGGATGTACCACAGATTATTTATTCCTTCACCTACTCAAGGACATCTTGGTTCCTTCCAAGTTTTGGCAATTACGAATAAACTTGCTATAAACATCCCTGTGCAGATTTTGTATGGACATAGGTTTTCAACTCTTTCGGGTAAACACCAAGGAGTGCAATTGCTGGATTGTGTGGTGAGAGAATGTTTACTTTTGTGAAAACGACCAAACCATCTTCCAAAGCAGCTGTACCAGTTTGCATTTCCACCAGCAATGAATGAAAGCTCCTGTTGCTCTGCATCCTCACCAGCATTTGGTGTGTGCAGTATTTTGGATTTTCACCATTCTAATAGGTGTGTAGTAATATCCTATTCTTGTTTAATTTGCAGTTCCCCAATGACATATGATGTTGGGCATGTTTTCATATACTTATTTGCCATGTGTATGTCTTGTTTGATGAGATGTCTGCTCAGACTGAAGATACAACTTTAGAAGTTATATAAAAAAAAAGAGAGATGTCCGCTCAGATCTTTTATCCGTGTTTTAATTGGGTTGTTCTTTTTCTTGTTGTTGAGTCTCAAGAGCTCTTAGTGTGTTTTGGGTAAGAGCCCTTTATCGGAGGTATCTTTTGCAAATGGTTTCCCCAGTCTGTGGCCTATCTTCACATTCTCTTCACAGTGTCTTTCACAGAGCAAAAAAAATTAATTATGTCTAGTTTTTCAATTATTTCTTTCATGAATTATGCTTTTTGTTTTGAGTCTAAAACGTAATCATGTTGCCCAAGGTCACCTAGATGTATTGTCTTCTAGGAGTTTTATTGCTTTGTGTTTTTCCATTTAGGTCCATGATCCATTTGAGTTGGCTTCTGTGAATGGTGTAAGATCTGTACCTGGATTTGTTTTTGTTTTTGCATGTGGATGTACAGTTGTTCTAGTGCTCATTGTTGAAAAGACTCTTTGAACCACTGGATTGCCTTTCTTTTTTTGAAAGGTCAGTTGACTGTAGGTGTGTCTATTTCTGGGAATCCTATTCTATTCCATTTATCTATTTGTTTATTCTTTAAAAAACATCATACTGTCTTGATTACTTTTGATTTACGGTAATCTTGAAGTTGGGTTTATCTGTCCTCTGACTTACTTCTTCTTCAACAACATGTTGGTTCTTCTGGGTCTTTTGTCTTTCCACATAAACTTTAGAACTGGTTTTTTGAGATCCACAAAATAACTAGCCATGATTTTGACTGGGATTGCATTGGATCTACAGATTAATTTAGGAAGAATTGATATCTTGATAATATTGAGTTTTCCAGTCCATGGATATAGAATGTCTCTATATTTATTTAATTCTTCATGGATTTCTTTCATCAGAATTTTGTAGTTTTCCTCATATAGAATTTGTACATATCTTGTTAGATTTATACCTAAGTATTTTATGGGGGTGCTAATATAAATGGTATTGTGCTTTAAATTTCTTGTTCCACTCGATCATTACAGGTATATAGAAAAGGAATAGACTTTTACATATTAACTTTGTATCTGCAATCTTGTTCTCATTGCTTCTTAGTTCCAGGACATTGATTTGGCAATTCTTTCATCAATTTCTACATAAATAATTATGTCACCTGTAAAGACAGACCATCTTATTTCTTCCTCTTCAGTCTGTACAACTTTTATTTCCTTTTATTGTCTAATTGCATTAGCACGATTTCCAGTACAGTGTTGACTAGGAATGGTGTGAGCAAACAGTCTTGTGTTATTCCCGATTCCAGCAGAAAAGCATCTAGGTTCTCACCATTAATTCTTACGTTAGCTGTAAGGTTCCTGTTTATGGTCTTTATCAAGTTGAGAATGTGTCCCTCTATTCCTAGAGTGCTGAAACTTTTTATCATGAACTGGTGTTGGATTTTGTCAAATGCTTTTTCTGCATCTAGCAGTATGATCACATGATTTTTCTTTAGCCTATGGGATTATATTAATTGATTTTGAACATTAAACTAGTCTTGCCTAGCTCTAATAAATTCCACTTTATCATGGTGTACAGTTCTTTTGATACATTGTGGATTTCAATTTGCTAATATTCGATTGAGGATTTTTGCATCTATATTCACAAGAGATATTTTGTTTTTTCTTTCTTGTAATGTCTTTGTGTGGTTTTGACATTAGGGTAATCTTTGCCTCATAGGATGAGTCGGGAAGTATTCCTTTTGTTTCTATCTTATAAAAGAGATGGCATAGAATTGGTACAACTTGTTTTTGAAATATTTGGTAGAACTTATCAGTGTAACAATCTGGGCTCAATGCTTTCTGTTTGGATGTTATTAATTACTGATTCAATTAATTAGATATAAACATATTTAAGTGGTCTATTTCCTCTTGTGGGTTTTGACAGAGTGTGCTTTCAAGAAATGTGTCCATCATGTCTAGGTTATCAAATTTGTGGATAGTTATTCATAGTATTCCTTTACTATCGTTTTCATGTCCATGGGGTCTGTAGTAATGTAATGTCTCTTATTTAATTTCTGATATTGACTATTTATTTTTTCTCTTTTGCTAGCCAGGCTAGAGGTTTATCAGTTTCACTGACCTTTCCAAAAAAAATCAGCTTTAGATTTTGTTGATATTCTTTTCATTTTGTTTTCAATTTCATTGATTTCTGCTTTTTATTATTTTTTCTCTTCTGTTTACTTTGAATTTAACTTGTTCTTCTAGTTTTCCAAGGTGGAATCTCAGATTATTTTAGATCTTTCTTCTTTTCTGATTTGTGTACTCATTGATATAAATTCCCGTTTATACAGAGATCCACGGATCCATCCGGGTGGTCCAGGCACCACTGGCGCCCCTCTACGGCGATTCCCCAATCCCACTATCCGAAGCCATAAGTCAGAAGCCGCTGTAGAACGCTTTGCCAAACTCTAGACTCGAAGGGACGTAAGGCGCAGCTACCCGCCGCGCAGGCGCGAAGCCCTGCTTTCTTCACAAAGACCGAGGGAGGAGGGGTCGGCGCAAACCCTAGGTGTCTCCCTGAAACAACGTTATCAGCCCGCCTCCAGGCCTACGGAACGCAGCGTGACGCATGCGCCTTGAAGACTTGCAGAACTTATTTCACGCTCGGGGCGGCGGTGACGTGATGAACGGGAAGGAGGTGGTCAAGGAACGGAAGCCGGGAGGGAACTAGGGCGGAAGGGGACCAGGGCCAGGCTTGTGTTCAGAGCCTTACCGGGGCTGGGGTTCCGATGTGGTCCCCGGAGCGGGAGGCCGAGGCCCCTACCGGGGGAGACCCGGCGGGCCTACTGCCCCCCGAGTGGGAGGAGGACGAGGAGCGCATGTCCTTCCTGTTCTCCGCTTTCAAGAGGAGTCGCGAGGTGAACAGCACCGACTGGGACAGCAAGATGGGCTTCTGGGCGCCGTTGGTGCTGAGCCACAGCCGCCGCCAGGGGGTGGTGCGCCTGCGTCTGCGGGACTTGCAGGAGGCCTTTCAGCGCAAGGGGAGCGTCCCGCTGGGGCTGGCCACGGTGCTGCAGGACCTGCTGCGGTAAGGGGCGGGCGGGTGCAGCTCCCCGAGGGCCGGGCCCTTGTCCTGTTCTCAGCACAACGCATTGCGCGCAGCCCACTGTCTGGCCCAGAGAAGGCATCCAGTGTGTGTTCAGAAGGAGAAGAAGGAAGATAAGAAGGAAACTAAGGAGACTGGGCTAGGGAGGCTTGGAAGGAGAGGAAGAGGGGGTCTGGGGAGATTGGGGGGCGGGGATAGTCAGATTAGATGAGTTCCAGAGAAGCTAGCCTAGCAGAGGTGACAGTGATTTGTCTGGACTGGGATCCCCTTATGTAGTTATTTCGTAAGGGCCTTCAAATTTGAATGGCCTGTGGAGCAGAAGGTCTAAGAGATAGGATTTATTAACCTAGGGAAGGTCAGGGCTAAAAAGCGGGCATTCACGGGGAAGAGTTCTGTAGGCATCTTGCCAACAACCCCTGGCACAACTCATGCATCTGGCCTATCCTGGCTTGTCCTGGGCACAGGCTTTTTGGAGCAGAGAAGACGTGAAGGAGAGTGAGGGCTTTGCTGAATATCTGAGTGCCTTTAAAAGGTCTGTAGGAGATACGTGTGCAACAGGTGCAGTGTTCTGGAGGTATCTGAGGGGTAACAATAACTAATAGATGTACAGTGCTTCCCAGCGTGCAGGCTCTTTGCATGCACCATTTGACCCTCTCAGCGGTCTTGTGATGAGGTGATAGAGTTATCCTCAGCAGACAGAAGAGGAAACTGAGTTTGAGAGAGATCACGTGACTCACTCAGTTACACAGCTAGAGGTCACACCCGGTTTGGATCCCTGGTCTTTGGATAAGTCATTTGCACTTCGATGTAGGTATTATTCTGAGACCCACCTAGTGTGATACCTCTCTCAGTGAAGGAAGGAGAAGGGCAACTCTGATGGTTTGGTTTGGTTTGGTTTAGCTTGCTGCTCTTTCTGATTAAGAGATCTCTCTTCCCTACGTTTGTTCCCAGTACCTTTCCATTGGCTGACATTGATATTGCTCAGGATGGTCTCGAACTCCTGGATTCAAGAGATCCTCCCACCTTGGCCTCCCAAAGTGTTAGGGTTACAGGCGTTGAGCCACTGCACCTGGCAAGACTTTCTGAGAGCACGTACAATGGAAACAGTTTTAGTTCATGCCTGAAGTAGGGAACAGGAGAAACAGTAGTTGAAGAAGTCAGTGAGGGATGAGACCAGAACGGGCCTCCTTATTGTAGAGAGGTGATGATCTTTCCCTTCCAGTCCAGACCCTTGAATACCTCCATGTTATTAGACTCCTCTCCTGACTGCTGGTGCTTCACTGAAGCTTCCTGGTGCTTACTGGGGTCCTGAAGAATTTCTGAGGGTGATGTTTCTCCACAGAGATGACATGGCACGCTAGTAGTATTAAAAGTAATGGTAAAAACCACAATTACTTTTGCATCAACCTAATAGTTAACAGCTTTGCTTGAGGGCCAGCCAGCCTAGGCCTGAATCCTGGCTCTGCCATTTGCTAGATTATGGGGCCCTCCACAAATTTTATGCCATCTTTAAGCCTCAGTTTGAAAATTCTGAAATGGTGATAATTGTACCTAGGTTTATTGTGAGGATTTGAAGAGATACTCCTTAGCATAGTGACTGGCCCACGGGGAGCATTTAATAAATTGAGCTGCTGTTACTGTTACCAGCACCATGAAATACTTAGGTCTTACATCTTCTCCCCACCCCAGCTTTGTAAGAGCAACAAGTCTTCCTCTGTACATCTGTTGTTTTCTTCTTTATGTCTCGCACTTGGCAGTGATTTATTTTCATTTTATTGTTTTGAGCTCCATTTGTAAAAGGAAATCTCAGCGAGGGCCCAGAAGCTACCTGAGTTTCTGTTGTCTTCGTGGAGCGCTTATCTTTAGGTTCCAGACCCATCATGGTGTAGATTTGGTCTCTCTCCTTAACCTTCTGAGTCCCTCAGTTTTCTCACTGGTTAAAATGCTCATAACAGCATCTCCCATGCAGAGGTGTTGTGAGGCTTAGAGCTGGAATAGAAACAGTGCAGCTTATAATAGTTGGCACAGCATAGGCGCCTAATGAATAGCAGTGATGATGATGATGATGATGATGATAAAATTCCTCTTTTGGGGAAAAGGGGGAGCTGGGGACTAGAATGGGATCTAGCCTTAAGTGCTACTACACGCCCTTCTTTTCCTTTCCCTGCAGTCGAGGGGAGCTGCAGCGGGAGTCAGACTTCATGGCCAGTGTAGACAGCAGCTGGATCTCCTGGGGGGTCGGGGTCTTCCTGCTGAAGCCTCTCAAGTGGACTCTTTCTAACATGCTGGGAGATAATAAGGTTCCAGCCGAGGAGGTCCTTGTGGCTGTGGAGCTGCTGAAGGTGGGTACTCAGAAGGGGGTGTCTGGGTGTCACCTGGTGTGATTGCGGCATCCTCCACATCCCTTGTGTGCATTTTTAGGGGACTGTCTTTTTTTTACGTGGTGCCTGAGTTGATAACTGAGTTTATCTGCCCTCCCTTGTGTTGCACTTTGTATATATTCGTTAGTGGGACTTTCCATCAAGGCTTAGCCTTTGGGAGTTGTCTATAACTAACTGGATTATTTTCTAGTATCTGTAGGGATTAATGTTAAGCAGCAGTTTAGGAAATGATTTGCCTTCTGTAGTTTACTGACAAGAGTCTCTCAGGATTCCTGAGGACCTCGTGGCTTTCACCATTGCCACCTGTAAACTGGCCCACTCAGCTCCGCTTTCTGACTTTCTGCCGGTACCCTTTCCCCTCCCAGCTTTCTGATGGCCTGCCTTCTGCTGCACACGCTCTTATGCCTCAAAGAGGCCACTGGGGCAATGGTCCTGTCGTAGCCTCCTGGTCAGTCCGCTGCCTCCTGGCCTGCCTTTCCCACAGCCTGGATCGCATGGCTCGTTGCTCCACTCCCTTCCTCAGTGACACCCTCAGCTCCTTTGCATCTCCTTTGGCCCACACCAGGAAACTCCAGCAGATCCATAGTCCAAGATCAAGCCGCATGGGGTCTGCCACCCCTGCTGGAGAAAATCCAGACTCAAGTCCCCTTCATGGTCCCCAGCTGTGGGAGGCCCTCGGAGCCACGCCACAGCCTCATTTTTCTTTCTCTCTGTCCCCTCACACGCTTTATCCAGTGTCCTTCCTCTCTGCAGGCACTTCCCTGAGAAAGTAGTCTCAGGATTCCTGAACCGGCCTTCCGTTTTCTGTCCTCCCACCCCAAGCCTAACCTCCTCAGAACCCACCTCCTTCTGTGCTCAGAGAGTAGTGTCCTTCCTCTGCCCCTCGTCTGCTCTGGGTCTGCCCTGCTCCTCTTGTCCCTTTGTCCCATCTGCTGGCCTTTTGCCTAGTATGTTCCATCTCCCTCTTAGCCTCTAAACCCAAACCCACTCATGCTTTTCCCAACACAGATTGTCACTGTTGTGGTACCCGGGCCCTGCCTAGTGACTGCTGTTTCATTCTCTACCGACCTTTGTGTCACCACTTCCTCACCTCCCATTCACTCGGTCACCCAGTGCAGACCTGCATCAACCACCTGCTCCACCCAGATTGCTGTGGGTGAGGTGATAGGAGCCTTTCTTAGAGAGACAGAGACAGAGACAGAGAGAGAGAGAGAGAGAGAGAGAGAGTGAGAGTGTGTGTGTGTGTGTGTGTGTGTGTGTGTGTGTCTACAAAGTTGACTGAGCATCAGGTGGCAGAAGTACATTGCGGAGAGTAGTTATTTTTGAAGTTCACAGACCAAGCCTGACCTCAGGGCCCTTGCATAGCACTAGAGGCTTCACACAGCTGGAGCCAGCCCAGAATCCTCCCCCCTCCCCCAAGAGAACCACCCATTTCTCCTCACCTTGAGAGACTCCAGCCCATTCTGCTGCCGGTCTTTCCCTGTCCCCCAGGATTTTGGACTGAGCAGCCCACATTTTCTTCAGGGGCAGCCCCTCTGCTCCATTGACACTCCCTCCCCACACCCATGCGGTTATTCCCCTGCCTGGTGCTTTGGTCTCCAGGGCTCAGTCAGGGTCCCCACACAGACTGCAGAATGATTCGGGTGGCTCTGGGCTGAGCTCAGGTCCTCTCTGCCATCTTTCTCTCATCTCACATGTCCTCCAGCCTGGAGCAGAGGAGAGATAGACCCATGGATCCCCACAGATGAGGCTTACACTGGCAAACAAAGAAAGCCTGCTCTTGAGGTAAATCGATTTTCCCAAGTCCAGACAGAGAAGACAGCCAGCAACTTTTTACTTTCAGATGGTACTGAAAAAATACAAAAAAAGCCAAAATTGTCCGTGATTTTCTTATTTTAAAAAAATACAAAGAAATGCAAGTTCCCTTTCTGTTCATCCAGCTTCTCTGTCTTTGGGTGCTGTCTTCTCATTCGTGTGAGAGTATGTGAGTGTGTACGTTTACAGACTGTTTCCTTCATGGCCTTGTCAACTCTAGTTCTTCAGAAAGTCCTACTTGCCTGTATCTCATCTGTCTGTCCTACTAGAAGGGAGCAGTGCCATGGGCCCTGGGAGC